TATCCTCAGCATTGCGCCTCAACCTGCTGCCTCTTACCCCATTCTCTCAATCAGTCCCAAACTGACATGATCTTTCTTGGTTTCGCAGGAATCACTCCGCCATAGTCCGAACCTCGAAGCTTCCTACGACTCTTTTCCTCTTTAAACCCCTAATCCGGCGCCTCTCCATCTTTTTCAGGAACCACGTTGCATCCGACTCTATCTACAACCACCGCTCTTTTCTACCCCTACGGCCCGACTGTACGAATTGGCGAAGCGAAACTTTGCCTTCCGATGACTTCATAGTCACCCAATTGAAATCGTTTCAACCCGCCACTCTTTTTACACATACATCACAATGCTCACTCCTCGGAGAGCCGTCGCGGTCGCCGCGTTCCTCTTAATCGTCTTTTACCTAATTTCCTCCTCCCACGACACAACACCTGCCGTAAAGGCACCAGTCGCTGCCTCCAACCATGACACGACAGACTCCAAAAAGTCCACATATACCCCTGCCTCCTCCGACGGCGAGATCAAGCCCTCTGCTCCCAAGGTCACGACGCAAAAGCCCATGATGGACATGTCCAAGATGTCGTTGTACGATAAGCTGGCATACCAATACCCCTACGATCCCGAAACGCGCTTCCCGGCCTACATTTGGCAAACGTGGAAGTGGACACCTGCCGAGCAACAATTCAACTTCCGCGAGCAGGAAGCCAGCTGGTCGGAACAGCACCCTGGCTTCGTGCACGAGGTCATCACCGATAAGGTTGTAGTCAACCTGCTGCGCCTCCTTTACGCGTCCGTCCCCGAGGTCCTCAAGGCTTACGACGCTCTTCCTCTGCCCGTCCTGAAGGCCGACTTCTTCCGATACCTGATCTTGCTTGCGCGCGGCGGCATCTACTCCGACATTGATACCTACGCTATCAAGTCTGCCCTCGAGTGGATTCCCGAGCGCATCCCCCGGGAGAGCGTCGGTCTCGTCATTGGCATTGAGGCGGATCCCGATCGCCCTGACTGGAAGGACTGGTACAGCCGTCGTATTCAGTTCTGCCAATGGACAATCCAATCCAAACCTGGCCACCCTGTCTTGCGCGAAATTGTCGTTCGCATCACCGAGGAAGCTCTGAAGCGCAAGAAGGCAGGCGAGCTGGACAACATTGCTGACAAGAACGTTGTCGAATTCACCGGACCTGCTATCTGGACCGACGCCATCTTCGATTACTTCAACGACCCGCGATACTTCAACCTGAAAAACTCCAAGGGACCTATCGACTGGCAGAACTTTACGGGTATGGAGACGTCCAAGAAGGTGGGCGATGTTGTGGTGCTTCCCATTACGAGCTTCAGCCCTGGCGTGCAACAGATGGGCGCCAAGGATTACGACGATCCCATGGCCTTTGTGAAGCACGACTTCGAGGGTGAGTTGACGCACATTCCGTTTCCACATACTAGAACTAACCCGTGAATGTAGGCACCTGGAAACCCGAAGAGCTCCGCCACATTGGCGAGCAAAACGAGGATGGTTCTTCCAAATCAAAATAAGACAACAACCATCCAGCCGTACGAAAGTGACGACACACACCTTTTCTTCCGGTACATGTCTCTTTTAATATTTGCATCTCCAGCGGCGTCCTCACCCACAGTCACGGGTTGGGCATGTTTCAGAAGTCGCGTTTCGTCTTTTTGTTGACTTTTTCTTTTTTTTCTTTTTTTGTGGCATCGGCGAGAGGAAATACAAACGAACTGCATACCCCAGGGAAACGGGAAAAGCGTAGAGCTAGCTTTGTTTTTGGCATAGAGTCTAGTTATCACATCCCTCGATCTGATAAACAGGTGGAGTAGCAGAGAAGGGACCTCACGGAATGGGATGGGAGAAGGGCAGAAATTGGTCTCCAAAGGTGAGCGTCCGGCGAGACAAAAGGCCGCAGAAGGTTGAGAACAGCCGCAAACCTCATTAGTATTGTGGTACATATACCCAAAGGCAGTCTTCGAGCAAATGGAACAAATATGGAATGCCAAACTCATAATGAGCAGGAAGTGCAACACCAATTGCCTCGGAATCTGGTCTGGTTCAATCTCCACTGATGACCAAGTAATGGATTCACAACCATCTAGGTCCCTAACACGCCGACAGTTCCGACGCTTGAGTTAGAGTTCTAGAAACTAAAGGGGGCACGGCGTGGCCTCGAAACCCGAGGCTGTCACCGCGCGTCATCCTAAGTTGACACCCGGCTAATCCCACATCGTGCACCCGCGGCTCCCTTTTTCTATTATTTTTTTTTAGGGAGATGTTCCCTGTTCATAGCGGGTACAACCCCGCACGGGTTCTCCGCATTAGCTGTGAGGTTAGGGCGGGGAAGCTTCCTCTGCCAAGGCTGGTTTACCCCCAATTGGCAATTGGCAGCTGGACTCGGCTCGGTGTGACGGGGGGAAAGCGGCCAGACGCGGGAGGGAAGGGAGAACTGGACGGACCGAACGAAGAGGAGGGCCGAGAGTCCAACCTTCTTGCTCTCCCCGCCTTGCTTCGAATGATACCTTGTACCTTACACAGACGCATACGAATACTCGGTGAGAGCTCGACGAAACAATTGGAGAGGGAACGAAAGCCATGATATCGTCATAGCGAGATATCTATTTGAGAAATATCTTTTTGCGTTTTTTGATCTTGTTTAAGCACCTTTTGGGGTTTAACCTTTGGGTTACAGAGCCGAGGTTGAGCGCGGGTAAACCTCGACGAGAACGACGACGAAAGAATGCTTTCGACTGCTGGGTACGTTCGTCTGGCGACGGGTTCCGTGGCGCGGACTGCGGCGTGGAGGATATCTACGGGATTGAGACCCTGCACTATCGTCAACATTGCTGGCCACCGGAGGGGGTTGTCTTCGGGGTATGAAGGGTTGAGTTTCAGTCTTGGTCCTGAGGAGGTGGGTTGCATTTCTCTTTACTTTTGATTGCTGGTGAGGATGGATTCCTACTCGCCCCGGGCTCACCTCAGCCCGAGTGAATTAGTGATCGGGTGTTGAGGGAGGCCAATGGTTGGTGTGATGCAGCGAAGCTCATGAGAGATCATGACTTCCAGGAGCTCATATACCAACCTCACTTACTCACCAGCAGCAAGACATGCAAAAAAAGACAAGGCTAACATACCCGACAGCCCCCCCTCCTAACCCAAACCATCCCCCAGCACTTTTCCCAAATCGTCTCTCAACACGGCGACCTCCCCGCCGTCACAGCCCGCAGCCCAACCCCAAACTCCTCTTCCTCATCATCTGCCTCCCCGGCCGCGACAACAACAATACTGACCTACACCGCCCTCGACGCCCTCTCAAACACCCTAGCCCACGGCCTCCGCTCTCTCGGTGTCCGCAAAGGCGACCGCCTCGCTGTCTCCCTCGGCAACGGTGCAGAGTTCGCCGCGCTCACCTACGCCGCCTTCAAGCTCGGCGCTGTGCTGGTGCCCCTGAACCCGGGGTTCAACGCGAAGCAGGTCGGCGCCGCGCTGCGCCATTTGGGGGTAGAGTGTTTGATAATTGGGAAGGTTACGGATTTGCCGTATAAGCCGTGTCGGGGGCGGAGTAACCTCGAGTTACTGAGGACGCTGGTGCCGGATTTGAACAAGGGGGGAGGTGTGGTGGAGAGTGAGGTTGTGCCGAGTTTGAGGAGCGTCGTGGTGTTGGATAATGCTGGATTTCACCCCGAGGTGGAGTTCGCGGGTGGACTCAGGGCATTGACGCCGTATGACGTCCTGCTTGAGTCCGGGTCGACGGGGGCGGTTGTGCCCGATGCGCCGCTGAAGCCGGAGGATACGATCAACATCCAGTTTACGTCCGGGACGACGTCCCAGCCGAAAGCGGCGATGCTGACGCACACTTCGATTCTCAACAACGGACACCTCATCGCGCAGAGGATGGGTCTGGTGCCCGGGGATAGGATCGTGGTGCCGCCGCCGCTGTTTCACTGTTTCGGGTGTGTGTTGGGGTACATGGCGACCGCGACGACGGGGGCGGGGATTTTGTTTCCCAGTCCGGCTTTCGACCCGTCTGCTACGTTGAAGATGGTGGCTGACTATGATGCGACGGGGTTATATGGTGTGTCAACCATGTTCGTCGCCGTGCTGGAAGCGTTGGCGGGCGGCGGGGTGGTGAAGAGGGAGGATATGCCGAGGGGACTGAGGAAGGGGATCGCGGCAGGGAGTTCGGTGCCGGAGAGCTTGATGAGGCGGTTGTATGAGGTTCTCGGGCTGCGGGATTTGGTGATTTGTTATGGGATGACGGAGACGAGTCCTGTAAGCTGTATGACGGCGCCCGATGACGGGTTCGACAAGAGGACGGGGAGCGTGGGGAGGGCGATGCCGCATACTGCCGTCAAGATTGTTGATCCGGCGGACCGGGGACGGGTTGTGAAGAAGGGGGAGAGGGGGGAGCTTGCGGCGGCTGGGTACCTTGTTATGAAGGGGTATTGGGGCGACGAGGAGCGAACAGCTGAGGTGAGGAGGGAGGAAGGGGATGGGCGGGTGTGGATGTACAGCGGGGACGAGGCGCGGATGGACGAAGATGGGTATGTTGAGATAACAGGGCGGATCAAGGATTTGATTATTCGGGGCGGGGAGAATATTCACCCCCTCGAGATTGAGAATTGTTTGTTCCAGATGGAGGGGGTGAATGAGGTTTCTGTGGTGGGTGTGCCGGATGAGAAGTTGGGGGAGAGTGTTGCTGCGTTCGTGGTTTTGAAGAAGGGGTGGAGGGGGGATGATGGGGATAGTACTGCGGGAGGAGATAAGGTGATTAAGAAGGATGAGGCGAGGGCTTGGGTTAGGGAGCATTTGTCGAGTCATCTTGTGCCCAAACATGTGTTCTGGGTGGACGATTATCCCAAGACGCCGAGCGGGAAGATTCAAAAGTTCAAGCTGAGGGCTATGGCTAAGGATTTGCTCGAGGGGAAGAAGTAGATGAATCACAGGTTTGAGTTTACAGTAGATATAGAATCACATAGTACGGACCCAGCGAGTGTGAGCTGAGGTATCACGATGTTTTTGATTTAATTCAACGTCAGACAAATTGCAGCTAGTGCTCGACCTTGAGTGAGAAATCCACGTGCGGTACGCCTTGGTGAATGGCACTCGTCGAAACAACATCAACATCTGTAAGCAAGTCAGTGTGCCGTCCGTCGAGAAACGCCAAGCCACCAGGGACAACTCACCATTACACACGTAATTCTCGACGTTCTCCAACGTCAACCCACCAGAGACCTCTACCAAAAAGTGCTTCTTCCCCGCCCACTTCTCCTTCAAACTCTTAGCCGCAACCTTGACCCCTTCGCCCGTAAAGTTATCCAGCATGACAACGTCCGCCCCCGCCGCAATCGCCTCGTCCGCCTCCTCCTCGCTCTGCACTTCAACCTCAACCTTCAAACTAAACCCACCCACGCTCTTAGCCGCCTTCACTGCATTTGTAATGCTCCCCTTGCTCCAAACATGATTATCCTTCAACATAATCATCGAACTCAAATCATGCCTATGCGCGTCCGCACCGCCCACAAGCATCCCATACTTCTCCACCAACCGGAACCCGGGCGTCGTCTTGCGCGTACCCGCCAGCACACCAGCATACCCCGCCGCCCTCAAATTCACCAACATACCCCTCGTCATGCTCGCCACGCCCGAACATCTCGCCAGCGTATTCAGCGCCACCCGCTCGCCCAGCAGGATCCCGCGCGTGGGTCCCGAGACGGTCGCGACGCGCATCTTGCCCTTGGGGTTGTGATCTCCGTAGCCGCGGAGCTCGACGTGGGACCCCTCTTTGACGTGCCACTCGATGGTGCAGCCGCACTGCGCAAAGACTTCGTCGACAAAAGGCCGGCCGGCGACGATGCCGCCTGATTTGCCCCAGAGGGTTGCGGTGCGCGGGGCGTCGCCGACGACGAAGCCGCCGTAGTCGAAGGAGGGGGTGTCCTCGGCGAGCCAGGCTGTGACCATTGTCTTCCAGCTGGGCGGGAGGAGGTGCTCTGGGGAGCCGTGCTCGAGGGGGACGTCTTCCATTGTGGTGTGTGGATGTGGTTTGCGGGGGAAGGGGTTTCGGTCGGATCGATCGCTAAGACGGTGATGTCGTGTGTAGAGAGCGGGAAAACGACGAGATAGGGTCGTTTCGGGGGTCGGGAAAAAGAGGATGTCGTCGATTGAAAGAAGGAGGGAATTTGTATGACTGAAAGACTCAAAGGTTAATCGCCACGGTTCGGATTCGTTGACGTTGTTGCCGTGGCCGGCTTCTGTCGGTGCCGTCTTCTGCCGATGGTGGGGTTAGCGTCGGCAGCTGGGCGGGGTATAATGCAGCTGGTGCCGACTGGTGGTCAAAGGTCTTCCTTCTCGACTTACACGGCTCACGTCTTCACACGTTTTTGGGGTTCCGAAGAATTGAAATCATGGTAAATGACAAGGTCAGTCATACTGTTCCTGTTCAAGTACTACAAAGAATCGATATGACTGCTAAAAACAGTTTTTTTTCCTTAAGACGAAATTGACATCCAACTCAACTACGATCCGCCCCAGATCTCTGGAAAAACGTTCCCCGATCCTCTGTCTCACTGAGCGAAAATTCATCAGATGCGTACACAAACCCGCTCGACTGAATAGACCCAGACCTCGAAGACCCAGTTAACACCCCAAGGTCAGAGCTATCGTGAGAATGTTGCCGCTCTCTCGAGTCGTCTGGCTGGTCTTGGCTTGCCTGATCACCGGACGGGGCCCCAGGTGACAGCGGCGTGGAGTCGTAGAAGTCGTCGATGGTTAGTTGACGGATGGGGCGGAAGTTCCGGTACAGCTCCGTTTGGGCGCCCCGTAGGACGTCGACGGTGGCCCTGTCCCCGCTCTCTCCCGGCCGGTTCCGGGCCGTCGGATCCGCTATCGGAGTTTCCGATTCCGAATTTGTTGGGTTTTCGACGAAGCGTCGATCGAGGACGTGGGGGAGTTGAAGGCGGAAGTGCTGTTGCTGCGCATTGTTTGTTTCCTCTTTTTCTTCATCGCCGTCGGCTTTCAACAGGACTGATTCAAAGTCTGAAAAGGGTAATTAGCTTGGCAGCAGACATGCAAGGTGTTTGGTCCAAAAAGCACTTACACGGAGACGGCACAGCTTCGCTAGGATCAGGAAAGAGGACACTATAGATGGCTCGCCACTGCCGCTCTTCCGTTCCGTGCGTCAATTTCCGCATATCCTTTCTCTGCTGTCTGGTGCATCCCATTGTCAGCACGGGTGAGATCACTTCACACCTTATTGGTTCCAGCAAGTGATCGTGAAGGCTTTTCTGAGATGGGAACACCGCAGCGCATCGGGAGCAGTAGAAGGGTATTATATGGTGATCATAAATATGTTTCCTATTGCCTGGGATGTAAGCCCATGTATTCATTGTCTGGGAATCGACCATGCTGACCTGACTTCGTTCACGTTGGAGAAACCAGAGTTTCCACAGAATTTCTTCCAGAAGCGCCCACTGGGATCGCGTTGGTAGAAGGGGCAGGAAAACTTCCTGGGCGGCATGTTCGAGTGATCGCCATCAAGGTCTCTCTTCGGTGACGGCTCATCTACATCTTGATCAACCTCAGAGGGTGCGGATGTCGATTCCTCGTCCCCTGAACTGCTGCATCCGCAGGGTTGCGGGAGAGGTGTTGCACGTTCCTGCTCCCGTGGTGGAGATGGAGAGGTTGAAGGTGGAGACGCCTCGTGCACGCCAGGTGTGCTTGACTTGAGACTCTGGTTCAGCAAGGTGGCGAGCCCGTTGATTAGTGTTTCGGCTGCTTCCAATTCTGATTTGGTGCTTGGGTAACCCTGAGAATGGGTGATTCTTGTGGCACCAATCGTGATGTCAAAGGACATGGAATCCGAAGAGCAACGGGCTTGATACCCGTCTGGATCTTCTCGTCGAAGAGAGTATGCCGTACTCTGTAGCTCAAGATTATTGCTCCTCAATACATTACATCTACACCCTATTGCTCTGTTATTACCACAGAGGTTCGCTGGCTGTGTTTGGCATGAGCGTTGTGAATCGAGTGAGCAGGCGTGACCGACCACTCTACGGGATTCGGGCCCCCATCGGCATGTCTCTGCAAAGTCCTAAAGTTAGCAAGTATGATATGCTTGGACACTTGCACTTGCACTTGCCTTCAAGCCCGCTAGAGCGCGGCTCCATTATTTGACACTTAGTCTTACGACCGCACTGCTCGCGCTTTTCCATGTAATACATCGGGAAAAGGAACATGGCTGCTAGAAACAACGCAACGGAAACCCCGCTCACAAGGCCAAGGATGTCGGGAGACATGCCCAGATAGTCATCTTTGCGCTGCTGCTGGCAAGGAGGGGGTTGGCGGTACTGAGGTTTCCAAGACGTGGACATTTCACCATTACGCGCTGAGACCAGACTTTGGGATGGGGAAGCGATATGCCTAGACTCTGATAAGGTATGGACAGGATCACATTCAAATATGAGATTCAAGTCTCACGCTTGGTGCGGAGGAAAAAGGTCTCAGATCTCAATACCGTTTGCAGGTGTCTTGAACGTTGGGTCCCGATGGTGCGGATTGGGCTAGGCCGGCGATCATCTCTACGCCTAACGGACAAGCCACACAATTCTGAAGGTTGCGCTCGGTAACTTAAGATTGAAGATCAGATGGCTAGTAAATTGACAGAGGAGGGGAGAAACGTGGCTGGAGGCAGAGGCAAGTGTATGTGATGTTATCGAAGAGTGTGCCTTATTGAAGCTCAGCCTCAGACTATCAAATCCAAGCCCAACATGAGCGTACAACGAAGACTAATTGGTTATTATTGAGTAATTGGTACCGTATGATTTTAGGCGATTTTACTTTGTATTGGAATTTTACGCTTCCCTAGACTTCCGACCTGAGTGGTTGCTGACATTACTTTTCAAGGGAGTGTGGGTGTTGACCACCCACAGCCTTTTCAACCTCGTGGCACCGGCGAATATAGGCCCTCGTATCCAGAACATGGAGTCCATCTCTCGAAAAGAAGTAATAGTGCTCGAGATCGTGCGCCCTGAAATACCATTTGCACTCGGACGCCGTTCCGGGGTCTGCAAGAGCCGCAAGGTCCCGATCGCCAGATGCCTCGAACCAGCCCGTATGGCCGTCGTTTGCGATGCCGAAAATATAGCCGTTGCAGACGGCTACATACTTCGACTGGTGTTGGATTCGGAGGCGAGGTTGACCCCAGGCCTCGTTGAAGAAGGCGTGAGCCTCTCTGAGGCCTTTGGCGCCCTTTCCGCCGATGGCGGCGGCGCAGTTTGTCCAGGTGCGGGCTGGGTACCATTGGGCGTTGACGCTGGTGGCAGCGAGACCGATGACGGCTCCAATGATAGCTGACAGTTTCTAGAGGTTGGTCAGGAAATTGGAAATATAATTTATTGGTTGGATGTTCGAGAAGGAGACAGTAGTTGGAACGTACCATTCTTGATTGACTTCTTGATGTATTTGAGAAAGTGTGTTGAGATTGGTTATGAAAGGGCGGTTGGCGAAGAAGGCTGGGAAAATCAATGTTTGATCAAAATCTTTTGGGGATCAGGTTAAGTAGAAGTAAAAGAACTGCCGTGAGACAACCCCAGTAGAGTCTGGAAATGAATTAGACAAATGTAGATTAAGAATCTCTTGATCCAAAACGACGTTGAGCTTCGACACTGCCTTGAATGATCATTCACTGTGTGGTGGGTCTATCAAACTTCGTCGAGGTACTTGGCTGTAGCCTCTTTGGATTGTCTTTCGTACATCAGGGTTACTTGACGAACCTAGTTTATGGCTCCATGTCAAAATGGCCACATGAATGAGCCGGATGGCACCAGAAGAACGAACCTCTGCCGCTCTCTAGTCGACGATATTCGCTCCGTTTTGCCACGCAGTATCGAAGTGCTGGCTGTACCATGCCTCAATGTTCTTCTTATCATCGATCCAGACACCATGCTGCTCATTGTAAGACGGATAAATGTTGTCGCTTCCCACATACATAAACTCCCTATCCACATAGACAATCTTGCTGTGTTGGCCAACGATTATCGTTGTGCATAATTCTCTTGCAATGGACCCGGTCTTGAATAATTTCCGCAGCAGTTGTACCAGACGGCAATTGTTGTGCGCCAAGGAGGCCAGTCAGGATCTCCCGGAAGGTTTTCCACGAGTACGGATCCCCATAGCCTCCTCCAGCATCCTTCGTGGCGAGCAAGATGTGCATACCGAGGCTCTTGTCTTGTGGATGGTTCTTGACAACGTTGAGCAGACCCTTACACATATGGCCTGCGTGACATCGTACGGAACTACGTACTCGTCCCAGTCGAGACCAAGCTTGGACTTGAGCCACTGCTTGATGGCACCGGCGTCTAGATTACCTCGCAAGAATGGTTCCACAAAGATTTCTTGGGCAAGCGTGATATTGCTCGTCGCACTCTCAATGGCGTGGAAACGGGCGGCTTTGCTTGCCCATACAGCTGGGCTGAGATTGAACCGCTGTATGTACGGGAGGATGGATTGATCGCTCATCACATTGATGGCGGTGTTCATCACCTTAAGTCAAGTGCTGCGCCATTCGAGGGGTTGAAGGCTTTTGTGGTCTGCATTTACACTAATTGCAGAATAATGTCTCTGTAGCATGGCTCTGATTAGCTTTGATGTGTTCATGTTCTTGCACGAGATGATTAAAATGTCACTGACTTGACGATGTTCAGGACCAGGATAGGATATCGGTGTTTACCAGATCCGGGAAGCCGGTCGCCCACGTTACGGGTAGTCAAGACTGCTTGCGACCCGTTGTTCTTCACAGACTGCTTGGTGTTGCCAAAAAGAGGAAACGCATCTGCCTGAAAGCTATCCAACCCTGTCGGAGTCGGCCCTGAGAGCTTAATAGAATGTCGGAACGATGCGTTGTCGTCGGAAGGAATATTGTTGAGGTAGCTACTACCATGCCAGTGCCTGTTCGTAATGGCTAGCTTAGGATCGACTTGCCTCCACAAAGCATCAGCATATTTATGGGCTTAAATAGCTGCATCGCCTCTGATCTTGAACATGGAGTCGAATGTCCAGACCTGGGTATCGCCATAGCTGTCCCACAGGTTCGCACCTCCCGTGGTCATCGCGGTACCACTGGCCGCCGTGACTTTTGCGTGGTTCCAGCTGAGAGCCGGAAGCGCTTTACTCTTGGCGACCTTGGCGAGAGTCAGTAGGCCCTCGATAAATAGAGCCGTAGCCAAATCGATCATCCATGGATAGCCCGATAAAGCCGAGTTGCTCAGAAAAACAAGCATCAGGTCATCAAACCCGGGCACAAACCCTGGAGCATCACAGTCTTGCGTCTAAGCAAAAGTTCGGCTTGGCCGAACATGATGCATGTCCTTTTCAACCAATGCGAGCGGTCCAGGATCAGGGTAGCACATCTGTACGACCTTTGAAACATCAAAAGTGTGATAGCTAGATAGTACTAGCATTCGATGAGCTGAGCTCGCAAGACCGCGTTGACGAATGTCACTTTCAAGGCAGCCTTCTCAGATGTCGCCGACGTGAAACCAGCTCGCCACAATCACAGTCATTCTTAGCCTCATGTTGGTGCGGATGAGTCCAGCTGTCGAAGCCTCAGGACCTATCTCGGAGAGAACTGCACAAGAGACAGGCTATGAAAGGCCGCTATAAGCAGAGAAGCGCAATTGGATCTTAGTACTCGGTGTCCAGAGATTTACATGATTTCAAGCGACATTTAGGCTAGAATCACATGTAATACCCATGAGACAGGGCCTACAAGCATACGAGATTCATCGAAAGGACTACCAAATCATACGCACAATGCTCTTTGTCCTCTAGAGACAAATGCCTGTGACTTGAACAAACTTTTGTTAGACTAGATCCGACTATGCTCCCCCATGTCCGGGAGGCCCCGAGTTCATATCAACTGGGAAGAAGTTGAACAGATCTGTCGTGAGAACGTCGAAATTCAAGTCAGGGAATGGGTTTCCCACCGAACCGGCCCCTGGAATTGGCATGCTGTAATCCGTGATCGGTTCAGGCTGTGGTCGGTAAGCTCTGTTGCTGAAGAAGATCAAATCATCCGACGTTGTCGCCCTATTCTCTTCCAGCGACGGAAACTGTATGTTCGTCGGGAAGCGGTCGTCAGTCCACGATGGCGACGAGTCGGCAGAAGCAACATCCAAGAATGCGCCTGTGGACTTGGCTGCGTTGATGGATTGCTCTACAGCCCATACAATTCTCTTGATGGAATGTATAGCATTTGTCACAGGGTCGTCCCCCACTAGAGAGCGCAGGCAGGAGATCGCCATCTGGATAAACTCGAGGTTGTGGGGGTGCTTCGCTGGATGGCGCAAGCTGTCGTACAGTAGAACAGCGCAGGAAGACTCGATGAAGAATGCATGGTATCGGCGTGTCTAAGAGGGACACAGGTTAGCTTGTATTCTTGCGGCAATTGTCCACCGGATCCTTACGTTGCATTCCTCAGGACTGCGCAGCATGTTCCAAGTGAAAGCCAGTGCATCTTGTGCAGCATCTGTTGCGTGTCTGCAGGCTTGTCGAAGCCATATGTCGCCTATCCCGCCAGACCCTTCCCCTGATTGCAGAGCCGCTTCGGCAATTAGAAACGGGCGGAAGATGAGAAGAACTACGTGAAAGTAAACTTCATGCCTGGAAGTTAGCAGCTGATTCTAGTAACAACTTGGGTACAAGGTCAGTCGTACCATTGTGTAGAAGAAGACTAGTTTCGGCATTCCACGCGTCTACACGTTGTACAGAAGCTGCTGTGCCCAGTCCCCACTTCTCGCCATATTGCCGGACATGACTATAGAGCTTCTCGGCTTTCCCGTATAGTTGACGCAGGGAGTCGGTACGTTTGTTGTAAATTGACTCAATAGCTTCTTCAAGTATGTTGGCGAATTGGCAGAGTGCCATCAACGTTGGTTGTCCGTCTGGATAGGGGCAAGACTCAAAGTCCGATTTCTGCATCGAACTGCGCCGTCCAACCACCAAGCTAAGCCATCTATGGGCAGCGATGTTAGGATATTGCACAAGAAGAAGGCAGTCCATCGTCAATCAAAACAAAACTCACATTTCCAGGAAGTAAAGAGACCATAACGTCACCAATCTTCCCTGAACTTCTTCTTTTCGCGAAATCGCACTTGTGGTCCCTGCATGCAGGCCCATGGACAAGGCTTTCCGCGTTGCGATGCCGCTGTGTAAGTAAGCGGAATTAGGTCGACCCATGTTCAGCTGATAGTGAGCCAAGAGAATCGAAAACTGTATCATCGGCAAAGTTACCGAATCTTCGTATATCGCCGCTTCTTTCTTCGCGTGGATGAAGAGTGATTCTGCGGCGTCAGTTTGTGACGTGCTCAATGCTCCTAACGCAAGAGCCGCGAGGAACACTGTCTTCCTTTGAGGCTGAACAGTTGTGTCGAGAGTTAAGTTGAATAAAGTGGGAACCATGTCATCAAGCTCGCAAGGGGTGAAGAACGGTAAAGATGACAAGTGAGTTGTCTTGAAGTGTAGAACGAACTCTTCCGCCTGTAACAGAGATACTGGGCAGCTTGCTGGCTGAGCAGGCTCAACGTTGATCTTTAGCGGCATGCCAAAGAATATGTTCCTCTGCATAAACATGTCCAACCCCGGCCCTCCCTCCTGGACATCTCTGATATGGCTCTGGCCATACTGACCGGAAAGCAGACCACGATGGATCTGCTGCAAGAAAGCAGAGTTTGAAGAAGGTCCGTAGAAGAGTTGTGAGCTGTCGGTGGACTTTGGCGCATGGTGAGCTGCGGCAACGCTGTGGTAGACTTCAGTCTGTGCTACGTGTTGTTGGTGTTCTTCTGCTGAACGTTGAGAAGCAGCTTCGTCCCGACGAAAGCGATCAGAGCCCGGGGTGGATACGCCTTGGCCAGTCTCGGCATTTGTTACCGTCGCCGCGGCCCGCTTCGATGACAATCTCACGCGCGGTTTGAGCCGATACACGCAATCGGATGGCCTGTTCTCACATTGTCGACAGGGTTTGTGACCAGAGCACTTAATCTTGCGCCTGCGACATGGTTCGCACGCCTTGGGAATCTTCCCTCCGAATTTGCTGTTAGACTGCATGTCGCTAACTCCGAGATACGCGACCCTTGGCTTCCCAATCGGAACGTCAGGCCTAGAGGGAAAAGACTCAAAGAGAGGTATGAAGGGTCAGACACGGAAGTGATCTTAATTCCCCAAGTCCGAATAGACTTGAATAATATCTATGTTGCCGCGTTGCGGAAGATGAATGGGTCAAAAAGGATGAGTCTGGTAAAAGCGGATGAGATGATGTCCTGACGTAATTCCGTAAATCCGAAACACCGTAAACCCGCGGCCGACACTAAAAGGGGGTCCACTGATCCTGAGAATCAGAGTCAGTGACTACAACATCCGGAATCAATATACTGACATTCTCTGACGAGATGTGGAGGCTGCTTAGGAATTGATGTTCAAGCTAGGAGAATTAAGAGAACATAATAGACTTCAACCTAATCTGAAGATGCGCATTGTAACCCTGCTCAACTGTGTTTACTACTATCCAAATAGGACTGTCGAATCGTTTCATTCACGATGACCTCAACGCCAGTCTACGACAGCGATCGAACCGTCCATGTCGATGAAAGTCTGCAAGACTTAAGTCAACCTCGGCAGGGGTTGACGGTCTCCCTCCGGGATGTAAGCATTGAGGTTCACGGGCTTGGAGAAGACTTTGGATCAACATGCCTGTCCGTCCTGGCCGATTTGTTTCCATTCGCCAAGAGCCAAACATCTCAAAGGGTAGGAACTGAAGTCCTTGAGTAATTTGAATACTTTGGCTGATTTGAGTAGCACATACTTCATAATGTGACCGGCCAAGTACGGCCGGGGGAGATGGTGATTTGATTGGTGCAACTGCAATACCACTTTCCACTAACACGTTCCCCAGTTGCTGGTTCTCGGGCGTCCAGGATCAGGCTGCACTTCTCTCCTGAAAGTCATCTCTAATCAACGGAACGAGTTCCATCATGTTAGCGGCGATGTGAGATATGGCAATCTTGGCCACAAAGGAGCGCAACAATTTCGAAATCAAGTGGTTATGAACACTGAAGGTAAGGGGCCAGGTCCGCTCTGACGTCGCCGGGTTCAGGAGTCTAATGACGAGACTCACCAGATGACCTTCACTTCCCGACTTTGGAAGTGAAAAAAACGATCGACTTTGCAACGTCTAACAAGCTACCTGGCTCAAGGTCAGAGTCGTCGGCCAACAACAAAGAGTACATATCACAGAAGACCAACGCCATTCTAGACTCTTTGTCAATTGGCCACACAAAGAATACGATGGTTGGCGACGAATACATTCGGGGTGAGTAGTCCAAACTTTTGGCAACTTTGAGGCAACCTCACCTAAATCTTGACAGGGGTGTCCGGCGGCGAGAGAAAGCGAGTCTCTATTGCCGAGGTCATGGCTACCCAGGTAAGAACCTGGTAGCAGCAATACCCCTGATGAACGCCCGCTGATGACATACGCAGGCCCCCGTTCAATGTTGGGACAATTCGACTCGTGGTCTAGACGCAAGCAACGCGCTAGACTTTGTGCGTGTCTTGCGTAAGATGGCCGACGAAGAGCTCAAGTCCATCGTCACAACTCTCTACCAAGCTGGCAACGGGATCTACGACCTATTCGATAAAGTGCTTGTGCTTGCTGAGGGAAGGGAGATATACTACGGTCCCACAACCGAAGCCAAGCAGTACTTCGAGGACATGGGCTTTGAATGTACGCCAGGAGCCAACATCTCTGATTTCCTCACCTCAGTTTCGGTTCCCACAGAACGACAGATACGCCCCGGATACGTAGACAAGATCCCGACAAGCCCAGCAGACTTCGAAGATCTATACAAGACAAGCCCCCTTTTTGAGAGAATGGCACAAGAGATGAACACCGTGTCAGAAAAGGCTCTGTCAGATGAAGTAGAGGGCCTCCTAAGAATCCGAAACGAGGAGAAGAACCGTTCACTACCGTTTCTGTCTCGACAAGGCAGCCCCTACCAGGTATCTTTCACGAGCCAGATTGGAAATTGCATTAGAAGGTATTATTGGCCCCTTTCCACGTTCTGAACGCAGAGTCTAAGTGAAATCACAGACAGTTTCAAATCATCTGGGGCGACCGGTGGTCGAACGCACTCCAGATTGCTTCAGCCCTAATCATGGCGCTGGTCACCGGGAGTTTGTTCTACGATCTCCCATCCGACAGCACGTCCATCTTCACTCGGCCAGGCGCTCTTTTCTTCCCGATTCAACTTTTCGCCATGAACAAGATGTCTGAGACCACCGCATCCTTCATGGGACGACGAATCATCTCCAGACATAAGCGGCTTGCGTTCAATCGGCCCGCAGCGTACGCTCTAGCCAGCGCGGCAACTGATGTTCCGCTTGTCATCTTAACGTACTCCTTGTTCCAGTTGATTTTCTACTTCATCGTTGACTTCCAGCGTGAGTCGGGCCACTTCTTCACCAACTGGTTTATGCTCATTCTTTGTACGCTTTGTTTCGCTTCCTTGTTCCGCATGATAGGAGCTTGGTGCAGGCATTTCGGGCTGGCCTCCCAAATCACTGGGTGGATGACAATGGTTTTCATGGTCTATGCAGGTAAGTTCAACTGTTTCAATCACAGCCGAGAGAGATCTTCTGACCACCTGTAGGATATCTCATACCTGTACCGAGCATGCCCGTCTGGTTCCGTTGGATTTCGTGGCTAAACCCCGCAACATACACCTTCGAAGCGATCATGGCCAAGGAGATGGGAGATCTTGCTCTAGATTGCGTCCAGCCTCAGCTTATCCCATTCGGATCTGCGTATGACAGTAGTCAGTATCGCAGCTGCACAGTCAGGGGATCTACGTCAGGATCGATAGCTATCGACGGGGAAACCTACATGAACGCCCAGTATTCGGTCTACAAAGCACACATCTGGCGTAACGCGGGGATTCTAATCGGACTCTGGATTTTCCTGGCATTAATGACTGCAGTCGGCTTCGAAATCAACCTGCATTCCGACTCCGGCTCGAAAGTGTTGTTTGACCGACGGAGTAAACAGAAGGAGCTAGCCACGAAAGCAGACATGGAAAAGGCGGAAGAGTCAGCTGCCTCCCACGACGTGTCTTCCATGTCTTTGAGCAAGACTGTTTTCACCTTCAAGAACATCAGCTACTTTGTTCGTCACGAAGGAAAGGACCTGCAACTCCTTCGCGGAGTCTCTGGATACGTCAAACCCGGTCAACTGGTCGCGCTCATGGGTAGCTCCGGTGCTGGCAAGACGACTTTGATGGACGTTTTGGCGCAGAGGAAAGACAGTGGCACCATCGAAGGCAGCATCATGGTTAACGGCAAGCCTCAAGGCATCAGCTTCCAGCGGACAACAGGCTACTGCGAGCAGAATGATGTCCACGAGCCCACTGCTACGGTCTGGGAGAGTCTTTTGTTCTCAGCGAGGCTGCGACAGAGCCACAAGATTCCAGATGAGGAGAAGCAGGAATATGTTCGGGGCATCATGCAGTTGCTTGAGCTGACGCCTTTGCAACACGCAATTGTTGGAAGTGAGTTTACCACCGATCATCCCAAGTCCTTTGCAACTCTTCTACAGAACCACGAGCTAATCATCAACGATTTTCCTAGCACCTGGCGAGGGTCTCTCTATCGAGCAGCGCAAGCGCCTTACACTCGCGACAGAACTCGTCGCGAAGCCCTCGCTCCTTTTCCTCGACGAACCGACTTCCGGCTTGGACGGTCAGTCTGCCTACGAGATCTGTCGCTTCATGCGAAGGCTCGCAGCATCTGGACAGACCATTATCTGCACCATTCACCAGCCATCTGCTACTCTGTTCGATGCTTTTGATGTCCTTCTCCTCTTAGCCCGTGGAGGACGGACGACCTACTTCGGACCGACTGGCAAGAACTCGACCACGGTGATCGATTACTTTGCCCAAAATGGTGCCGCTTGTCCGCCGCACGCGAACCCTGCAGAACACATAGTTGATGTGGTGCAAGGTCGTTTCGGTACTGAGATCGATTGGCCCCAGACGTGGCTGGATTCCTCGGAAAGACAAGCGGTCATTACAGAACTCGATGCACTCAACTCCTACCGTGACGAGGAGAAGGACAATCAGCAGTCTACTACGACCGAGGCAGTTGACGAGAACCAGCTTGCTGGATTCGCGACCCCAGTCGCTTACCAAGTCTATCTCGTCACAAGCCGACAATTAGTCGCTCTGTGGCGCAACCCCGATTATGTCTGGAATAAGATTGGACTGCACATCACTAACGGATTATTTGGTGGCTTCACGTATTGGATGTTGGGCGATGGTACCTTTGATCTACAATTACGTCTCATGGCTGTCTTCAATTTTGTGTTTGTCGCCCCTGGGTGTATCAACCAGCTGCAGCCGCTCTTCATTCGGAATCGCGACGTCTTCGAGACTCGCGAGAAGAAGTCTAAAACCTATCATTGGTTCGCCTTTGTGGCGGCTCAGCTGCTTTCAGAGACACCTGTACTGATCGTCTGCGGAACACTGGCGTTTGTCACTTGGTATTTTACGGTCGGCTTCCCCACAGAAGCAAGGATATCTGGACAGGTCTACCTTCAGATGATCCGTAAGCTTCAGTCCAGTCGCGACATTTGCTTTTGATTGTTTTGCTGACCTTTGCTCATCTAGTCTATGAGTTCCTGTACACTTCACTGGGACAGGCTATTGCCGCTTATAGCCCCAATGCCTACTTTGCAGCGCTGGCCAACCCAATTATCATCGGCGCAGGTCTCATCAACTTCTGTGGTGTCGTCGTTCCGTACTCGCAGATTACGGCTTTTTGGAGATACTGGCTTTACTGGCTTGACCCTTTCACGTACCTCATCCAAGGAATGCTGGAGCCCGTGGTCTGAAATGTTGAGGTTCACTGCAAGTCAAACGAGCTGACTTACATTCCACTCCCCGAAAACAGCACCTGTGGAGAATACCTTGCCGACTTTCTCTCTTCTGAGCCGGGCTATGTTGTCGACCCGGGAAATAGCACCATGTGTGCATACTGCCCCTACAGTACTGGCGCGGACTATATGAGAACGATGAACATCAATGACTCCAGCTATGGTTGGAGAGGAGTAAGTCAAGTTCTGCATCCAGACATATGGAAATTCCAAGCTAACTATGAAAAACTACAGGTTGGCATCACGGCGCTCTTCTGCGCTTCATCATACGCTCTTGTCTTTTTGATGATGAAACTGCGGACCAAGACTACGAAGACCGCGAGCTGAAGGGAAGCTGACCAAAAAATCACAATGGTGGAATCAAGGTATACGTAGGGAAGGTGGCCTGTGATTTAAATTAGAGGATAGCGTCTGGCTAGACATTGAGGCGCAATTAGGGGCTTTAAACATTACAGCGTAATATAGCATAAATGCAATCCTTGATCTTTCGGAGATTACATGTTCTTCATTGAAGCGATTCAATGCTTTTTGTAAGATGCCCCGTTGGCAGGGAGCAGACCTAGGTCGTTGGGCTCGACCTCGGCCTCACTGCACCGGATATACCGGCGATATTGAACTTACATTTTCATGACAATGACCACCGCAGTAACCGTGCTTGAACGTAAATTTGATAGGATTACCTAAAGACTGTCGTCAAGATTTTTTTAACTTGTTTACCTAACCAGTGAGAAAGTTATCCGAAGAGGCGATGCTAACTGGAAGGACTTCAACATAGTTGCGTTTACAAACAGGGTTGTACCTACTCCGACATAACCATGTTTTGGCCATTACACCAGTGGACGGCAGAGCAAAGTTGACAGCTGAAACTGAGTGTCTGCGAGGACCATACCCTGTGAATCACATGCAGCGGTCAATGTCAGTGCGCCAGCAATGCACGTGTTACTATGAGTTCCTTTTCTACACCAGTAACGCAGATCAGTGACACGCAAGATGTTTAGCAGCCTTCGTTCATCTAAATCTTCTCTCTCCAAGTACGCGGACACGTGGGCCCAAGTAGTTACGAGGTCTTGATTGTTCCACCTTATTCCGATCCCATCAACTACCTCTATGAGTTCGACTTCTTCAGTACACGCGTCCAGCCAAGTCTAGAAATAAAATCGTTGCCCTGAACCTCGCTGCAATTATTCGGTCACGCATTTAGGGAAGAAATCACCTCCGGATGCCCGCGGCATCCGTATACGTGAATTATGTGTGAAAGCTTCTCGAATCCGAGATAGGCCGTTGCTATACTCATGACTTGCATGTGAAGCATGGGATGATCCTGGACCGGGAGCCCCACGCGGGGTTCAGCCGGTCGAAACGTCCGGTAGCACCCGGGATGGCCATGACTTCAACTTCGACTAAGGCCATGAACAAGGAACTTCGGCTGCGATGATGACTAGTCACATCGTTTGCTAAAGTTACATCGTCTTCGGTTGATGGCAATGAGGTTTCCCAATCAAAGTTTCGGTCATTTGGAAAGAGAGTTACGAGCGACAGACGACGCCGGTGGCATATTCAATCCGTAATCGATATTGCAAGCACTTTCTCAGCGCTAGATATGAGGTTGAGAGTAGGTCAATGTTTCGTCTTTGTCATGGCTTAGTCGGTCTTGCCATTGACGCTTGTACGGTAACTAGAGTGCCTTAGGAAAGAAAACGGATAGAAGAGCTGCTCGCCATTCATGCCCCGACTTGACTGAAGTGCGACGAGTCAATAATATCAGGTGTTTGATGGAATGAATCGCAATGTTCAGTGTATGATTCGGTTGCCCCGGAAAGCCATGCTTGGAAATGATAAGATTACCTTAAACCGAGAGGGTACCATTCCATTTTTCCGGAGACAAGATCTCCTTGTTCAAAGTGCCGTAACTTGCAGTTGTCATACAAAGAGCCTCGTATCATTACGTTGGTTTTGCGATCGTTATGCAGTCGCACGATACGTTGTTGATAATACGGCGAGAGAACTGGAGTTGCTGCGGATTGTTGATATCGAGAAACAGCTACCATGGACAGAAGTTCCTTAATTTTCCGGGTACCAAATCGGTGATAATGCAGAAACAGCTAAAGTGTCGCCCGGCGTTAGAGGTCAGGAGAAGGAGGGGTTGAAGGGATGGAGGCTCTCAAAGAATGCATCATAGAACCCCGGTATCCGACAAGCTTTTCTTTTTGTTGAAAGACCCCTCGCAGATCACGCGGATTCGTTTCCGGGAAGCGCCGGAGCAGTCGATCCGCAAGCCCTCTAGAACGCTTTCGGATCTGAACTAAGAAAGCTTTGTGCGATTAATGGGCGCTCTCATCGCAGCCTCTTGCGTCGTGGCGGTGTCTAATAAGGTTGGCCTGTCCACAACAAAGGCCGGATTTTGGTTTGTCCACCCGAGCCCATCTGTTCCTTGGTACCAGGTTTTAGAGGGGGTTCGTCGTGATCTAGAAGCGAATCTTGGACTAGAGCGTTCAGACATGCGAGACCCCGTTCGGATTCGGCAAAAGGCGTAGTCTTTTTCGTATCGCACTGTGCCCAAAGCTCCTCAAACTAGTAGCAAAATGGCCATTCTCCGTGGAGAGTGAGGTGACGACTTCTCCAAGTCCCTTGATTCTGGTCTCTTTCGACGTCTCATAACTGGCCACAGGGGACACCGTGCAGCACGATGTTTGTTAGAGTTTCGCCCTCCGTTGATCACTCCATGGCGCTAACGATGGTATTGCGCCTCGACCCTGGCAACGTCCGACCACTCGACGAACTCTAAACGGAACTAGAGCGGCCGGGCGAGTCAGGGCCGGTGCGGGTCGCCCCTTGTCGCAGGTCACCAAGTTGTCCCTTATCAGCAGCTTAGAACCCTTTCACCTTGAAGCGGCCGACGAAGAAGAAAGACTTCCACAGCTGCGAATATACGATCGGCCACGGAAAACTTTCGGTGACATTTGTGAAGCGATGAGCCTCGCCATGTGGCTCACAGCTCACGTCGAGCGATTGAAGATACGATGAGTAACGCAACGGCCCTGGTAGGGGCGTTCCCACCCCCGCCTGGCGTCACACCGGATTTCAAGCACCCAAGGGATGCCGGGTGGATGTGGAATGTCGTAGGAATGAGTGTTCTGGCAGCAATCACGACGCTGTTCTTTGGGATCAGAACGTATGTTAAGTTTTCCATGGCAAGACCGTTTCTTCCAGATGACTGTATGTTATCCCTCGATCTCACCTGAACGAAGCGGGGATAGAAAAACTTGACTGATTTGCGACGCAGGGACTTGCGCTGTGTCATATGTAAGATTCAATTGCGTGGAGATGCGAATTGACTGTATTAACACCTCCCAGGCTTTGATCATGATCTACGTTGCGACTGTGTTTGTGATGGCGCACTATGGCGAGGGCTATCATGCATGGGAGCTGACGAAAGAATCGTATCAAGAAGTGATGAGAGTAAGTTTGATGAGCTAGTCAAATCTTGAAGCGGGACACGAGCTAATGCAAATGATTTTCAGTGGCTGTACGCCAGTTCCATCATCTACTGCCCGGCAGCATACTTTACGAAGGTCACTTTACTCCTACTCGAAGCACGAGTCTTTGCCGTGCATGAACGAGTCTCACGGGGGATCAAAGTCTTCATTATCACCTTGCTCATCTGTTACATCCCAATTCAGATTCTCAAGACTGTCATCTGCCTGCCAGTATCAGCCTTCTGGAACCCCAAAACTCCGAACCCGAGATGCCTGAATCAACGCAAAATCTTCATTGCGGATCTGAGCCTGGCAATTATCACCGATTTCTTCATCCTCGTGCTCCCGGTACCACTGTTGTGGGGTTTGCGCATGCCTTTGCGCAAGAAGCTGAAAGTCGCTGCGCTACTTGGAGCTGGAGGTATTGCGACAGCTGTGACTGTCTATCGCATGTATCTCGTCGTCCAGTTCCTCACCTCGACGGATGTTACAGCGGACTTCGTCGTCTTGGACCTTATCACGTAAGCTTAGAACTTCTTCCCATTAGTCCGTAATCGAGCTCATCAGTAGGAATTAGGGCACTGGAACTTGTCATCGGCGTCGTTTGTGCTTGTTTACCTTCCACCAACCTTCTCTACGAACGAACACGAAGAGGAGAAGGAAAGGCAATGGGCAATCTTCCAAGAACTACAGGTGATCTGAAGAAAGGAAGCAGTTCAAGTTCCTCTTACTGGCGCAGCATGTTGCCAAACAAACAACTGAGGACTACACGCACGACCATCACTGTGGCAGAACGCACTACGATAAGCCCAACAGGTCCTGCAAACTTCGATACCGAACTCGCCGTCCTCACTGGTCAGCCGATGGGAATGAGACCATTGACGGAAGAGTTGTTTAGAAAATCGGAGCAGACTGCTGACGACTGGACTTACAATCCCAGAGCAAATTCAATGGATGGGAGAAGAGAAGGCTGGCTGGCACAAGGTGCCGAGAATTCAGTGCAAGGATGTTCGAGAGATAGGGTACCTAATTGGCAAAATCACGAGATGGAGGCCAGAAAATCTTGGGAAGCTGTATGGGAGAAGGCTATACCTCCGGAGGGGTTGGCCTCCATCCCCGAGGATGACGGCCCTCCTCGACTGCAGCTGGCGACACATCCATCACCGGACTGGGAGCACCTGACATAGTAGTTGGGCAAATGAGATATAATGTATTATCGCAAAAGATACCCGATCATAACGAGGAAGAACAGCGCATCACCATCGAGTTGATGGGATGTATAGGAGAGCCGCAGCTGTGGAAAACGACTCGAAGGGCAGTTGTATAATTGGTAGAGTGTATTCAGTCTAGAGGCATTAGCCGGATCCCACGATGAGTACTGAAAGGAGAGAGACTGACTGAATGGGTGATGCCGCCATGCAGCTGAGGCTGTGACGAAGATTACCAAGGGTCAACTTGTAAGAGACGAAATGAAACCAAGTACTATTTGTATACGACGCGGCACAGAACATTTTTTTCCGATTCAACATTGATGCAACCAGTTCCCGAGCTGTGAACAACGTGAGATTTGAGGATTGAAAAATTCAACTTTTATAACTAGTGGTAGACAACGTTGAGTTATCGCCGGTGACATCATGAACTCTCTCAAACGGTGATGCATCGTTTTCTTTCGAGGATGAGAGTCCTTTCAACACCGATTCTCTTATGAGAGCAAGCAAAGCAAGTAGCAACATCACCTCTTCTAAGAAAAAACAGGCCTTGCCTCCTATGTGTCGGTGCAAATCCAAAATGAAGTCGTCTTAAAGTTGAGCAAGTTTTCTGTTTCAGGAACTCGATCATCCCCATAAACTCCGGATGGCTGCACCTTATCTAGCGGGGACTTTGCCGAAGTGGGGCCATTTCAGGGGCCGTTGGGATTAGCCAAGTGAGGTGCCATGAGAGTATAGGTTAAAGAGTCAGGTTATTAAGTGTGATTGAAATACGATTTAGCATTGTGTATTAACGTATGAAGTTACGGGGTTAGGTTGTGATCTAGTGCATGAGACAACGGGTCACACAAAAGCTTCTGAATACGTTGCACAATTCTTCACCGCGGGTTGGATCTTAAGAGGTAGACAGGGCTGAGAGCATATCCCAGTGGAAAAACAATCCACAATACATGATGGTATTACTTCAAATTAGAGGAAAAACTGGCCCAAACGGTATGGAGAAGCAGAACATAAGAACCAAATCACTTGAACATGTCGATTTTGAGTGTTGAAGGATGTGATGTAGGCAGCTAACATGGTTAATACACGCATTGACTGCACGTGGGCAGCTGCCATCACACTCAAAGTTCGGAAACAGCCGGCGACAAGCACTTGGGCCATCAAGGTAGTAATGTTAGAAAAGCGATTGGTGCGGAATTAAATGATCTATGAGCAGATATAGTAAAGATTTCGCTGATCTGGGTAAGTTTGCGGGAGCTAGATAGACGATTCGACAACGGACCGTATCTCGCACAAACGTAATCTCTTGACGCCATTTATCAGATGGTACATAATTAATCCTTTCGAGAAGGTGAAGAGACAAAAAAGACCAGAATGACGCCGTGACTTGGCGCTGCATGGTGGTGATGCCGGTACAATCTGCGGGAGTGTTACAACGGCGCGCTTGGCAAGACTGCGGAAGCCGCCAGATACGATGCGCCAAGAGGCTCACAACGCCTCTTTCAAGTATGTTTGTCCGTATGGCAGTGCTTGTTGCCAAGTCCGGGCGGGTATGTAAGTAAATTTGCGGCGAAGGATGGTGGACTGCCGGGCCGGGGCCACGGAGCCGCTGATTCGTGCGTCCAAGTACCGTGCGGGCCTTGTCCGATAGACACCTGCTTCTTTGGGCAGTAGTGCTCCGCATCGCGACATTGAAGCTCGTTGCTCCCACCTTCCAACCGCTGTTTCTTGACCTTCTGTTTCTAGCAGGACTTTTGAACAATCATCATGTTTTTGACTCGTAAAGCGGTGGAGAGATACCGCGAGGCCCGAGGAAAGAACTGAGGGGAAAGACAACGCCAAGTTGCAATGGGAAGAAGATAAAAGAATGTGGTTTTCGCCCGTTTGATCATCAGAAGATCTTGCTCTGCACCTCTCCGCTCTTTAGGTTGTGAAGTGATCATCGTGGTTCAACCGTCAATTACCCCTGCCTTAGACAACTCCCAGGACCCTTCCTGAACCACTCAAGATGAAGGCAATTACCTTGGCAACCTTGGCCGTTTCGGCGCTCCTCTCTGGAGCTTCGGCCAAGGAGATCGCACCCAGTGAACTCGTCTCTGAGATTTACGACAGTGGTGTCATTCACAAGGACCTCATGGCCCGTAAGAAGGTATGTGATACTAACGCATCTGCTTGCAAGACTTGGTCTAATCATTACAACTCACAGGCATCATGGGACCGCCAAAGAGACGCTGGAGAGATGGAGTCGACCAAGTACACGAGCCGCCTCGCTGAGGAGGGCCCCGTTTCTTGCGTCAACGGTGTTGCCGAGGTCATCCCTGGCGATGCCAACAACACCTTCAAGTGCAACAAGGTCGACTTCTACGACTTCAAGAGTCACTCCGACCTTGGTTCCACCTCCGGCGAGGGATCCTCTTCCTGGGGATGGACCAGCCCTGACGGTCGCGAGTTTGCCATCATTGCTCAGGCTGATGGTGCAGCCTTTGCTGAGATCACCTCCGCCGGCAAGCTCGTCTACCTCGGTCGCCTTCCGCAGTACTCTACCACATCCATCTGGCGCGAGCTTCGTGGATACAAGAACTACGTCGTTATCGGCAGTGAGGCCTCCCGCCACGGTGTCCAGATCTTCGATCTGACCAAGGTAAGCTCAATATCACCCAACCTACAGACTCTAGCAATACTAACTGTCTGTGACAGCTGCTGGACATTGACCCCGCCAGCCCGGTCACCTTCAGCAACTCCCGTGACCTTACCGGTTACTGGAACGGCCTTCCCGCCGGCTCCACCCACAACATCGTCATCAACGAGGAGAAGCAGTACGCCGTTGCTGTCGGCGCCCAGCCTCGTTCCAGCGCATGCCGCTCCGGTCTGATCTTCATCGACCTCAGCGACCCTGCCAACCCCACTTCCCCGGGTTGTGCTGCCGGTGACGGCTATGTCCACGATGCTCAGTGCCTCGTCTACCGTGGTCCTGATGAGAAGTACTTCGGTCGTGATATCTGCTACGGTTACAACGAGGATACTTTGACTATCTACGATGTCACCAACAAGAACGAGACCAATATCATCTCCCGTACCTCCTACGAGGGTGCTAGCTGTAAGTTCCTTCGGTTCATTCATTCGTTCAATTTTGGAGCAATTACTGATTGGATACTTAGACACTCACCAAGGTTGGGTCACCAACACCGAGTGGCAGGAGTACCTCGTTCTCGATGACGAGTATGATGAGGTTGACGCCACCGGCCCTGCTGCCAGCGGCTACCCCATCACCTACTTCTGGGATATCAGATCGCTCGAGGCTCCCAAGCAGACTGGATACTACCGCAGCGAGGCTTACGGCATCGACCACAACCAGTTCGTCATTGACGGCCTTGCCTTCCAGAGCCACTACGGTGCCGGTCTCCGCATTCTCGACGTCTCTTCTCTGCCCGATGACCCCACCGGAGGCGGTGTTTCAGAGGTCGGATTCTTCGACATCTACCCCGAGAACGATGGCGAGCCCCTTGGAGGATCAATTGACTTCGTCGGCACCTGGTCTCACTACCCTTACTTCAAGAGTGGTCATATTTTGATCAACACCATTGAGCGTGGTGCCTTCGTTGTGAAGCGCTCTGCTTGAATAACTTAAGACAAGGTTGGGTAATACCTGTATGCCTATCTTGTCTTGTTAGTAGACGAACTTGTACATACCACTCCGTCCATTGAAAATCAATGTGAAGAAGGACACTTCATCCTTAATGATAATGAAGAATGTACCTAGGGAGAATATCATAACATTCACTCTTTCTCGTGCACTCCTGTCAACTTGACTGACTCATATAATCAACGCTGAAAACTTCAATGCCTCGGCTCTTGTGTAGCCATAAAGTGTCCAGAAAGGAGATCTTTAGTTTCAATCAGGTGATATCCAGTAACATGCTTGTAGAATGCTTAAGAGGCTCTTGCTAAAAGGAGAATCTGCCTTCTAGAACCCGTCGTATCGTTAAGCATTTGGCGCAATAAAGTCTATAATTTCCCCGAAACCTTGTTTCCCGAGCCAAGAACGGTGGGCTTCTGGCTGGATGGTGCTTTGAATTCTCAACAAGAAGGACAGTCTCATACTTGTGTCGACTCATTGTGTCGACTCAATCGCCCATATTGGTAAACTTAACAAGTAACATATCGACTTCATTATCGTACAGAAGCGCTCATGATTGGGTGTCTGACTTCAGCTTTTCTTCGGGCAGCCAAAATGCCCGAGTGCCGCTATTGTGTCTTGGTCTGATGTGACCGTAGCAACGTTGCCTTTTAAAGTTGCGACTACGAAACGCCACGAGTCATCAGTCAGCGCCAGATCAACGTCTGCAGCGACCAGAGCGTTCCCAACAACACCCTTTTTGGGTCTAGTTGGCAATTGCGGACAAGCGTTTCCTCGGCCCCGGCGCGTTCTTGATTTCAGCATTTCGGAGGCTAATCTGGGAATGCTAACTTCACGTCTTCCCCAAGCCTACTTCTGTCGGAAAACGTGCCTGCATGGGGCTCCTAAATGAGACGACAGCTGGAAAACCCGCCGACTTCATATATCACAGGTCCGCCGACGATATTGCCGCATCGCCCATTGTCATACACCCAACAGAAGCCCTCTGATTTCGATAGATGATTGTCGCTTGATGAATGCGTCGGCGGACGCGCGTCCTCAAGCATGGCCACCGGTCAACTGGACAGCATCTTGAGACGCGATGACAGGTTTCTGAAGGAGATGTGGACTTGGTTCGGCGTAGGGGCTCTTGTCATCCTTTTGCGGTTTTTCGTCAGGATTCGTATGGTTGGTCCCAGAGGCCTCAAGGGAGATGACTACATAATGCTTGTTGTAAGGCGAAACTCAATCGATAACGCGGCACTATTCTGACGGTCCATCTTGGTAGACTTTGTTCTTATACACGGTCTGTTTTGTCATGGTGGACTTAGTTTGTGAGTATGATCACTAATCGGGGCTCCCAAGTGAACATTCAGGCAATTGGCAGAACTGATGTGTGTGTACCTACTACCAAGATCGATATGGCACGAATGTAGACCTCACAGCTGCTCAAATTAGCACTCTATCCGACGACGAAGTAGCACGACTTGTGCAAGGTTCTAAGTTCCAGCAAGTCGCTTGGTACTCGTATACCGCATATTTGTGGTCTATGAAAGCAACCCTACTGTTCTTCTAGTATTTCACCTTTCCAATCCTCTGAAGAGAAAGAAGCTGATGATATTGAAGTAAGCGAATGACTTTCGACCTGTGGCAAAACGCGAGAGTGCTGAAACATCTGACGTGGTTCACGATTTTGTCATACTTGGTTGTGGTTGGAACAATCACCTTTAGCTGCATGCCGTGAGTGCTGGACTTTCAATCAGTTCCTGATGGAATGTTGCACTAATGGCAGTGATCCTACAGATTTTCAGATAATTGGGGAGTGAGGCCCTTACCTAGCGAAAAGTGTGTCTTCAAGGCCCAAAATCTGCTAGTATCAACGTTTCTTAGTAAGTCTGACAGAAAGTCTAGCTAAGAACTTTCAAGCTGACTAGAGACAAGACGTTGTGACCGATGCAGCCATTCTTTGTCTGCCCCTGCCCGTTCTGAGGGAAATTAGGGTACCCTTTTACAAGAAAGTATTCATAGCAATACTGATATGCTCCGGCCTATTTGTCATCGCGGCCGCGATCATGCGAGTCGCGGTAACTCTGGGCTCAGAGCCTTCAACAATTACAGTGAATAGGTGGGGAGTCCGAGAATGCGAAGTTGGTCTAATTGCTGTTAACGCACCCATTTTACGTCCTCTGTTCTCCCGCAGGTTTTGGCAGTGGCATTACCGGCCGCCGGCTCGAACGCCAAACCCCATGGAGAGTGCAAGAAGAAGCAGAACGACGGTTGGCGGACATCGACGTAGAGTTATTAAAGAGGACTCACTTCTTGGCTGGGTAGGCTCCACTACTTCAAGATTAGGAACCATTGTGGGAGGGACTCAAGACCGTGGGAATACAGTGGATGTGGAACTAGGAGACGCGGCCAGTGAGCAGGAGCTGGAGCCTCTTGACAAGGTTGAGGACGTTGAAAGACAGAGTTCTCATAACCCCACCAATGACGAGATAGCGAAAAATGATTAAATCAGAGGTCGGACAGTTGTAGGGGTCAATATACTTGAGTAATCACATGGGGGGAACAGGGGCGCATTTACAAGTTGTTTTGTATCAAAGAAAAGCGAATGTTGGAAGAATACCCAGCCATGTAGTACCTTAGCATAATAGAGCTGATGGCCTGCACTCATGTACACAAGGCTACTTCGGGTTTCGGATAAACCAAGGCTCAACAGAATCAAAATCAGAATCACAACATCGCCTTGCGAAACCAAACCTCAAGTCTCCAACCCAGTACAAGATCACAGCATTTTCGCAAATTGCGGCAAGACAGAAACAAAACTGAGCAGCCGAACCTCCAAGTCCATCCAAGTCTTACTCGTCCAATTACTGCAGCAAATATCATACTCCTTGTCCCCATATCTCAGCTCTCTTATCAATGGTCCAGGTGGAAAGGTCATCATTTACTCCAGCGTCCATCAACTTTGTCTTTAGACCTTTACTCAATCCGTTTAGCCAGGATACTCGGCGTTCGGTATGTCGTCTCTGAATCTCAAACAAGAATCACTCTTTACAATGGTGGCATATTTGGCGGTCTTCGTTACAGTGCTCTTCCTCGCCGATTCCGTTCTCCCAAAATCAGTCTCATCAGCTCGGAGGGTTACCAGTAGCTAGCGAAGATTCACAAAAAGCACCTGGAGGTCTCGGGTCGCTCTTCAGGGGTGGGTGATCTGGAAGTCGATTGACTACGCTCGCCCTCCAGAGAGGCATTTTCGGGCTCACTTTCTGTGGCGGGATGATGGAGAGGCCATAGAAGAATCCTGCTGGGGTAGACTGGACCTAGAAGCCGAAGCTGTTCATCCAGGTCAGTTGCTTGGGTCTCACTCACAGCAGTCATGACATCATGAAGGAAATCATCTTCATAATACGCGGAATGGCTCTCAGGCTGCACAATCGGGTAGACAAGAGCATCGATACTGGCATTGACACGAGCATCGACGTCTTGAGAACGAAGCGGACAAGGGGTATCAGCTTCGTCAATGCTGCTAACATCAACGTCGCGAACACGACGACGACGAGGGGCATCGACCGTGTTATGGCTGGTAGCAGCTTCAAGACTGCCGGCAGTCTCCGAGTCTCTCAGCCAGTTGTTCACAGCGCCGCGGTTCAACACGGAGTTCTGCAGGCGAGGAAGCTCCCTGTGAGGCGGCACGAGAGGCGGTGCGTCTTCCATGGGGCCGAGCAAGAAGTCAATGGAATCGTCCTCGTCCCACTCAGAAACGCCAGCAGCACCAACAGGAGCCTCTATCACCGTAGAAACATCATCAGCGTCGAGGCCGGCTCTGTGTAAAGGCTCATGCTCGAGGTAGGCTATCGAATTTGGGGATGGAAACGAGAGCTGACGATGTGGGCCGTTGGGTAGAAAGGGAACCACAGGAATGCCAAATGAGCTCTCATCGAAGAGAGGGCCGAGAATTGGCGGCGAATTCGGCTGTGGCCTGTTTTGTTGTCTTCTGGAATACTCAATGTCTCTAGGCCCTGCCGGCTTTTTGTTGTCACGGGCGTGCAGGGTACCTTGACCCTCCAATCCACGGTTATTGTCGACCTTGGGTCGCTTGAATATGCGTAGAGGTGCGGGAACCATAGAGGTTTCAACAAAGCCGGCGTACTTTGTGAGATGAAGGGCCGAACAAAAAGCCGGCTGGTGAAAGGTTCCATCAACTTGGTTGTTGTTTTCCTCGCTGATAGTGAACAAAGGCTTGGCCTCGGTGTCAGGGTAGATAGGTTGGGTTGTGTGAATGTTTTGCTTCTGCCTCGCCGTGAGTTTCAGGGGCATAGGCTCTTCCGATGGAACGAAGGTATCCGTTGCACGATTGTCTTCAGCAAGTACTTCTTCGAATTCGTGACATCCAAAGTCACCCAGGAAGTCATCAATTTCCCCAAGCATATCCGTGACGAGCTTAGGCCTCTGCTGCTCTTGTAGAGCTTCAGCACAGATGGGCGAGGAACTGGAAAATCCGGCATAGCTATAATGGCGCTCTTCGAAGACACGGAGTGGCCCGAGTGGAATGGGCTGGTGAGTTTTTTCAACGTCCCTGACAGCTGTGATGATCGAGTCGTTGTCATCGTGTGTGTGGGACAAGTTCCAGTTACTTTGCGTGACGCCAAAATCGTATTCTGGTTGAGAGTCGACAAAGAGCTGGAACCGACGTGTGGGCTTGAACAAAGCATCCTCAGTTCCGATTGCGCTTCTCTGGCCGAAAAGGGGGCGAGAGGGTCGAGGGGGAAGTTCGTCAAGAGGACTCAAGAGATTCTCGCAATCCCACGCAGCTTCGAAGTTCATAAGTTTAAAGCAATGTCAAAATGAAGAATGAAAGAGAGCATACCTGGGATTGGGGAGCTCCGTCGCGATTCCTCAATGCTTGACGTATCCGAGAAACCAGTCTCAGAGGGCTCAGGCGATCTCTAGTTGCCTTCGTCGTCAAGAAACTGATTGAAAGAGGTGTATTGCGGGAACACGTTGCTAGTATCCACCAGATGATAAGTTGGGAGCATGCTTTCATTGGAGTCGGCAGCCGAATGAGCGTCCGCAGTGTTGACACTGATTATCTTGGCCGTGTTCAAGAAGCTGGCCATCGTGAAGCAGGCGTAAATCGAAGGTCGGCGCAAAGGTCCAATTGCACTCACTTGGCGCGTAAAAACAACGGACCGTGACGTGTTGGAGAAGAAATGACTGCTGTTGACCGCAAGATGGCCACGGCTACAGTGACCGGAGTCTGGATTGTCGTACGCGTTTGGCGTTTCGCGTGGGCTCTTGAACAGTAGCGCGAGGCCTTGCTGAACAACGCCACTAAAAGGCATCTTCAATGACTTTACTCACTAAGATTTGTCAATGTTAGTCAGAAGAAAGTTGGATTGAAATTTTTCTTTTGCTTGATCTCTGGTGGTTGCGAAGCCAGTTTACTGGAGGATGTCCAAATGCGAAAGGGCACTTGCCTGACTAAGTCTTGCCTTCGATATTGGATGGATTGGCAAGACCCTCGAAGGCTTTCTGTCCAACTTCGCCGAGGTAAGGATTCAGTGCGGTCAGAAGAGTACAGTGGATTACTTGCACAAGTCTACCATGAAACATCAATGAATGGTGAAAGTGGAGTTGCTCGGATACTGAGTGTGATCAAGCTAGTTTTGGTTCCCTCTCACGATGGGAAAGCTAGCAAAGGGTAGAAGGATCGGCAGAAAATTGCGGAAAGTCGCGGAAATTATTGTGTTGATGAGGAAGAAGAAACGAAAGGAAGACGGCGAGAATTGAAGGGGCGTTGAAGTAGTCAGAGGGTCGGCCGAAGGGCGGTAGGGCGGTAGGGTCGTTTGGTCGTCCCATGTTAGCAAAGTATCTCGAGGCATCAGCCACCAGACGAGTCACGAGGACCTGTGAGCTTCACCTGAACGCCGATATTCACCTGAAGTGGGCCCGTTTATGAGACTTCACCATCTCAGACTTTACCTTCCAAAGGTGAAGTTGTCAAACGTCTGGCCTCCGGACTTCGGTATGGTCCTGGCAATAGATCCAGCACTGAGTACCGCCTCGGAGATAATACCTTCGGTCTGCTCCACATGCCAAGATTTTAATCATGCAGCCCGGTATCCATGCCGGACTATCGTCGACCCAGGATATAACCTCGAGTATCCTCTTCCCTGACTGACAAGCTTAACTAGGTAAGTTAAGATAAAAGTGGCGGAGATCCGGTGCTGCTTATAGCAAAATTTGGAGCAACCAGCACAGGCAAGCACAAGAGGGCACATTTAGATTCGTTGTGACATCGGCGATTTTGTGAAGCTTACAATTTGGAAGCAGTGGTATTATCTAATAATAATTACACGGAACAACTTACAGGTGACAAGGCTCTTTAGCGCAAGTCTGTTTGGCTCTTTATCCCTCTCTTAGTCTGTCGAGGGCCTGACCAGGATCATGGATGTTGTCGTGATTCGCAAGGGATGCTTTTTCGACCCAGATTTGTGACGCTTATCGTCTTTAGACAGGCTGGAAAATATCCGAAAACTTATTGATGGTATTGATTGTATAATTGCGTCCACGGGCTCGTAGTCGGTGACAGCCGGGCCAGAGCCATGAGGAAACGGGTCCATGATTTGATTCATCTACACACATCATGTTTACCCAACGCCAGAGTATCGACTCCTAGCCTACAACAGCTTAAAACCTCCGAATTGGGAAGACTCAAACCGTAGATAATTTTCATGTTCAGACCCCTGTCTTTCGTGCCATTCGCTAATACAATATTGTCGTATCTGGGGTCGAACTGTAAGCTTACGCCCAGTTATTGGGGCCCACACGACACTCTGGTGTGCGTCAATAGCGTGAGAGCCTGAGAGGGAACACAGGACAAGGTAAACGTTTCCTCGCAGCTCGTTGGTCCCGAATGAGAACCCCTCTTCCTGGCCGCGCAGTGAGCCCATCCGCTGCCGAGCCCCCGAGAACATGCAGCCAGTCTTCATTGCATTCATGCAGGTTTGTGGTAGGGCACCAGCATGCCCTGACGTGAAGGACCCATGTAGCTTTAAGTTGCTGCCTGCTGAATCCCAGATCCAGGGAAGAAAATCCTTCTTCTCTGCAGTCAGCATTATGGGAGCAACGGTCAACAGTTCGTTGGATGTGAGACCCCATCAATACATATAATTGATTGTCGGTCGCTCACACATTCAAAGTAAAGTAATTACCTTAGTCAAATAGCGCTTTTATTCTGGCACCAAGTCGTACGCACCCGCTGCCTCGCAAGCAAACCAGACTCATTGACAATGTCGGATCAAGCCGATGCTCCGGTCTTTGGCGCTTTCAGTTCGCTGCTGGGTTACGTTGGTGGACAAGCTGCCACCAGCGCAATCTTCGAGAGGTTCCTTTGGCCTCAGCGGCATTTCTCGTCGTTCTCCATTTACGACATGCCACGACTTGCATGTTTGTACTCTATGGCAGGCCCCATTGGATCCATTGCTCTTGATGTTATCGACACTGCGTATAAAAATGGGCTCTTTAGCGGAGCTGTACAGGGCCACATGCTTGGAACACACTTTTACCGCGACCTCGAATGGACGTATATTCTACACTCTCGTGGAAGCGAACCCGAAAGGGAATCGCAAATTCGAAACTGTCTTTGGGTCCAGGCGTTACTCAACATGCCCCTCCCAACTATTAAAGAGCCTCCAATTCGACAGCGCAATGACACCGAGAGTTGCAAAGTCCCCCTTGAGGAAACGACGAAACCAGTGCGCGCTAGAGTCGCTGTGAGCCATTTAGTGCTTTCCAAAGCTACAGAAGAAGACCTCGGCAACTCTAAAGCCCCTTTTATTTCCGAAGAGATCAAGCACGTTGACTTGCTGTGCTTGGTGGAGATTATCCTCACCGAGTGTGTGGGCATCTGCATTATGATCTGCGTCGCCGCAATCACTGGCTCGCTATGGAGTATCATCTTCGTTATACCGCTCGTCCTTCGATTGATCAGCACTTTGTTCGCCCTTGAACGCGAGGGGTTGACCCCATTCTCAGACACTGTCGACGAGGAACAGACGCGGGACTGGGAAATCAGTTGTCCAGCAATCGAAGGAAAATTTATGTTAATCACCGGTCCGCCCTCCATCGTCAACCAGTTCTTCCGACATTACGGACATCCAGTGCGAAATCGATTCCGTGAGGTCATTCAGCTGGCAGTCGTAATTGCTTTTGGGACTTACTTTCCAGTGGGTCTTCTTTGTCAAGTTACTTGGATGCCCGTTTTTGTACAGTATATCTGGACAGTCTGGCAAGTCTGGCAAGTCTTGGCTATGCATTTCGATCGATATACCCAACGAGGGACAAGTCGTACGACCACAGATGCCGCTATTGCAGCGAAACTATCCAAGAACTTTGAGAACAGTGACTCTGACCGAGTTTTCGGAAGCAGCATCTTGTTTGGGCAGAGAAGAAATGGGTCTGCCGTTGTGAAGGCTAGTCTGTCGTTGACGGTGGCGGATAGCTATGCAGACGGAAAGAAAGTCCTGAAAAGCGCGGTTCGGAAATAGTTCAAGGAACTGTTTAGTCTGAATTTTTTGCTGGTTGGCCGACTAGAAGATACGAGCCCTGTATGTTCCCACAAGAACAATATAAGCGTAAGAGACCGGCAGGTAAACAGGAGATAGTTAGATCTTCGCATCAAGTGGATCTAGTCTACAGGCTAAAAACCGAGATCTTCATCATTCCATCGTGCGGTCGCACGTGTTTTCTGTACCTATCCTTTTTGAGTTACGATTTGCATGCATCGTAATGGTGCGAGAGACAAGACCTCTTGATGTCTCTTACAGTGTCAACCTCAAATATTGCCGACGGTTGCCTGCTCAGAACACGGCCCATAGCTATACCATGAGAGTGGCTGAAGTCTGGTGAACAGAAACCTCGATTTTGTTCACACCTTTTCTACACCCCGCCAATCTAGAAGATAAAGAAATGAGCCGAGCTCACTGTGTTTAAAGCCCAATTCATTCATCGTGCAAAACGCCTCTTCAACTATGAAAAGTCCCCCAGAAATTGCGTAACGGGAACAGGGAGAATCCACAACCCCCTGAAAATGATCAAACTCTCGCGAAACCCAAAAGATCGTTTCCCGATAGCTGCTCTCCGACAATGATACTGGATAACAGGGAGTGACGTGAATCACATTGCGGCTGGAATCGTCTTCAGCCACCTGGTGACCAGATAAAATGCCTTCGCACATCATCGGAAAGAAGTCAAAGTAAGACACCTAGTCAACCTCTTGTTCTTTTTTGCTCTCTGTGAAAGAAATGACAAAGCCATCGTCACTGGACCAGTCCTGGTCGCTGGCAGTGTAGTCAGAGCCGGTTCGTTCAGCGTATGTACACGCGGAAACCATCGTCTGACGGGTGATTGAAGATTCAGCACCGGTCGCACTTTTGCGAGCACTAAAATTCCTGGATGTGTTTGCTTCCCTGGGTATCTTGGCTGCGTGAGATTTGGATGGCTTGAAAGACCTTGCTACCGAGTCCGCCGAAGGGCGTCTCGTGACCGAGATGAGCTCCGAGGGCGCCTGTTCGGATGTGATCAAGTCCAAGTTGGCTCGTTTGGATTCGGACTGATGGAGTGTTATGGAGGATACCACTGCATGTGAGTGATCTTGAACAAGATGGATGAGCTGGTATAAAGCTTTTCGCAAATGTCCAGTGGCCATGTTCAGCCAAGGCTGAGACAATGGAGCCTTTGCTCGTAGGGCCTGTGTCAACGAGCACATCAGTTGTCTGGTGATATCTGATGCAAGGGGGTGTCTTCTTTGAGATAATCGAGCGCGACTTACTGGATATGTCCATTATGGTAGCCAAGCTTTTCTGAGTCGAATCTCGCATCACCTCCTACACTTCCTACTAGTAAGGTACTTGACGCAGGATCGAGGGTCGCAGACAGAGGACCTCGTCGCTTAAGTGGGCTTGAATACGCTTTGGGTATTTCGGTTTGCTGATGTGACGGAATAGGGGTGGGAATGGAAGATCAACAAACCCGGGAAGAACGAGGCAGTACCGCTCCTTGATATGGAGTTGGCTGGAAAGGAGATCTGGTGGAAGAAATGGGAGATGGTGATGAGAATATCACACGAAGCACAATCGGCAATTGTCGCGTAATTTTGATTCTGCCGCAAGCGATATGGAAGAAGGAACGCCGAATGAAAGCCCGCGTATAGAGAACATGTTAACACGCTCAAATGCCGTAGCAACAACATCACCGGCCAGACTGTTCCTGATTTCACATTTGCTAGCCCAGACACAAGGGTGGGGAAGCTGGAGTGAATCGATTCACTGAAAGGTGAAACAGAACAAAAATTCAGGTCAAGTGAAAGATAAGGATGAAGTTGAGTTGAAGGTAATGCGACGGAGTTGCTCAAAGCTGAAAGCGCACCTCGGGCTTTTTCGTGATATTTCCTAATGAGGAAAAGCGGCTGGCCATTCCGACTTCACCTTGGATCAAGTCAATAACTATGGGTTCACAGCAATACAACTGAAGGATACATGAGGCACAGTTTAAGTATTAAACGCGTCAGCATCTCCACAATTCATGTAGATATTGATGATGCTCTGGTGTGGTGGCAACCTTACCAACGAGAGCCGTGTTCACGTAACAACGGACCAAAGGAGGCCGCCTCACTTTAGGCCTATCCTCTTCCTTATAAGTAGGCCCTTCGATTTCGTACTTTTCGAGAAATCTTTCTCCTTACCTACCACTGCGTCACCGCGACTTTCCCCGCGACTTCCTTCCGTTCCGCCGTGCTCAACACGATACACCTTTCCCTACGTACCACCGGTAACCCATTGTCGCGGCCTCTTGTCACATCTCAACTCTCCGGGATATTCGGAAAAGCCTTCTATCAAGCTGCTCTGTCCTCGTCCACTCCATTTCGCGAGCACGCGATAATCGTTTACCGTAATTTGCCTCGTTGCAGAAACGCGCAGTGACCCTTCACGTCACACAAACCCATCTCTTTCACAAGTAATTTCACACCTTTCGCTTTTCGCTGTGCTCCTATTCTGACAAAAGCTGATTACTACAGAATCCAGGATGGGTTTCTTCCACCGCGTGTTGGCCTTCTTGGAAGAAGGCCCCCGTCATGCCTCCTCCAAGGGTAAGCCAAGCCGAAGTCTTGTGAAGGCCGCCGTCGCCCTTAACAATATGAGTCGGAAGCCGTCTTTCGACAACTTTCGACACGAAACGGTAGCTTCGAACAGCATTGTACTTTCTCAAGGCAATGTGGTCGCTCGCGAAGACAACTCTGAACCCGTCTTGCATCATTCTGTAACTGCCACAGCCGAGGTTGACAGCCCGCTTTGCGTCTTGGACAGTAGCATCGACTTTGAGCCCGAAAAGCAGGTGGCAATTCATATTCTGAGATGCAGAGAGCCAGTCACAACGGCGCTTCATTCTTCCATGAAATCCATCACCCCGACCAAGACTCATGAGGCTGTCTAGTGGATACGCTTCGAGAGCCAGGAAGGTGTCCGATCCTCATCTCAGGGAACGAAGACAATCATGACTTCGCCCTTCAGCACCAAGAGCCTGGGCAACACAAACTTCCCGAGTCTTCGAGGCATCTCGGACTTAAAACCCTTCCCTCCGTTTGATCCGAGGTTCGGTCGCACAATCAAAAGCAAGAATAAGTTGTCTGGCCTTGCCTATCGCTACCAGAGCCAGGCATTCTCCCCTATCAAGCCTCTTGCTACTAAATCAGAGAGACGACGAATCAGACAAGTCTCGGTCTCCCAAGTGTCCACTATCAGCTCCAGCTCCGTTGGTAGACTCTGTGACCTAGACGAGGACGCCTTTGTCAGGTTTCCATCTTTCGAGCAGGCTTCGGTGAAGCAGCTCGATGAACTCCTCGAGCTTGAGAGCCGGTTCGCTCAGTACTACGATGGGGATGAAGAAGACGATGAGTGGGGCGCCGAGTATGACGACATCGATGAAGCCGCGGTCTCATCGAAGAGGAACCCCAGTATCGTCGATTACGAGAAGTATGCCGAGGATAGTTTTATCCAGCAGATCTATGAAGATCTTCCCGAGGTTGAGAACTATGATTTCAAGACCGCCAAGAAGTCAACCCGTAACGTGCGATTTGGCAACTACACCACCGGCAAGTATGTAAAGATCAAGTCGGAGGAAGAAGACGGCGTGTCGAAGCCAAAGAAGAAGATGGGCAAATGGGCTGCGGGTCTTTTTCGCAAGGCCGTCAGCCTCTTCTTTCCGAAGACCACCTAGGCTTTCTTGTTCCTTGTAGCTCAATAGCGACTTGACTTCTTCATTTGAGTTGGAGACGAAAGGCGATAGACCAAAGCTACGTGCTTCTCGTTGAGTAATACCAACTTACGCTACATTGAGATTTTGGGGGCATTTGAAGGTAACAGAACATGAGGAACCTAGTCTGAGTTAATATGCTGACGTGAACAAGCTTTTCTGACGACAAATGTCTTTTTAGGTGCCTTTTTTCTTTTCTTTTTTAAAAGAAAAAAGTATTAGAAGCACAGCCTAAGGCACGGTACGGTGCACACATGGGTCGCAACTTTCTATCATCTTTTGTCAGAAGGCGACTGGGTGAAGTTTCCCAACAATGAAAGTCGTGAATCAATTTTGGGCTTCGTTACGGCTTGGGGATTAGTTTGAGGGGTTTACATGGTTCTTTGACACTCTGGAGTTTTGTTCGACTGGAGTTTTCACATTTTGTTTCTCCGTTTCTTTGTCGCCTTATCATTCTTATCACGAGATTGAGCTTTGTGTTTTATGTTTTGGAAGTGGAAGTACGGACATCGGGATTGAGAAGAGCGTTTGCTCGAGGTTGTCCTACCTAAATGTAAATAATATTTCCCACTTCAAAAGCTTGTTCGCGAGTCAACGTCAACCAGTCCGTGAACATTCAGCTGCCCAGCCTCTTGGTATTTATGACAAGCTCGTGGTCAGATATTTCTTGAGTCGCGACCCGTTGGGTTCAGTTGCCAAGCAAACATCATTCGCATCTAACTAGGCCTTAACCAGAAGTCGGTGACGCTAGTGCTGGACCAAAGTGAGCTTCGGCGTTTGCGCCTGGCGCTAATCTACATCAACTATCGCCAATGGAGAAATAGGTTCGATGAGCTTTAGTCTTTGCAGAAGTTCAAGTCGTCGTCATCTTCTTCAGGGCGCCGGCAACGGCCTCCCCCCCCCCCCCCCCGAAGTGAACGCCACAGAGAGGCTGCAGCCAAACTCAATGATGCTTTCCATGCGTTTTCCTCTCGCACGTATCCGTACCACGGCTCAGTGTCATCCGAGCCTCTGGAACGGACTGTCGCAGAGGCTTGCAGATGCTTCGACGCACAGCTGCAGGCTCGCATCGTCTCTGTGACAACCATCTAGCCGCATCGCAGTTCTTATTTGAGATGCTTCGATGCTGTACCGGGCTACCGGCACCTAAGGGATCCTGAAGAGTGCGTGAGCGATACGCTTCGATATGACAGGATTTCGGAGGCGGTGCAGTCTAGCGCAGGGGGGATTATCCTCGTTAGTTCAGCTAGCGCAGAGACCCCACGACCTAGAAGACGGGATGTGGATGGTCAATATTGCATGTCTTAGGTCATCTTCATGAATCACGTTGACCTCTGAGTAGGCTCTATACTATTCGTGGGGTTCTGACGTGTCAGTAGCCGAACAAACAAAACTCTTGCTGGCAATAAAGAATGGAGTCGAAGGGAAGTTTGTAGTGTGAAAGCTTTCGGTAGTTCGTTTCCAAAGATTACATTTACGCAATCCGATGTTGAACGCGTTTCCCCCACCGTATTGGATTAGCTCGAGGTCAAAACTCGGACGCAAAAACACTTGAGCCGCTACATTGCCAAAGCTGTCCCTGAGCTTCGACGCCAGAAGAGGAAGAAACCCGGCCGGCACGGAAGAAAACACGATTTTGCTCTTAGTGTTCCCCACCAGTTAATGACAGTTTTCTGATGTTTTGAGATGGACTCTCTTCCCATATCCACAATGGTCTAGCTCGGCCCTCCGGATCTCCGTTTAGAAGTTTCAGGGTGCTGTTCATCGTTCTCGTCCTCGGCTTGAACGACAGCCAGCGTTTCGTTTGTACGAGAAACTCAATGTGCTGCACCATTGATAGCTGCATGTGCAACGATTGGTGATCTCGCAGTCTACCAGTATTCGGCACCTTGCACCGAGGTCTTCGAGCTGCAGACTGAGAGCCTCGAGTTTGCCTTTGCTTTGAGTCAGACGAAGGATCTGTTGTCATATGAATGTGAATGGCCCGTGTGCGAACAACATACGTGCGGCGCCCGCGAGTACGTAGCTGACCACACAAACTCAAACCAAGCCAGCCGCACAACAACGCTCACGCCACACCCGCTCGACGACCAAATGATGGCTTACCTGAAGCTCTCGAGTGGGACTCCTGATGGTATCTGACTCTGCCAGGTCAGCGAATATGGTCCGATGATATTGCTGCCTGACCCTCTTCCCCCGAGTCACGAGAGAGGCGAAAGATGGCCTGCAGACTACTTCTCAGCATCGCCGAGGGGCGTGAAGCTCGTAGGATCATCCGACGAACAAGTCGCCGGAACCTTCAGAACCTGCAGTCCATAATTGGAAACGAGGTCAAAAGTTCGTATCAATTAAGCTCATCCGCATCGCAGAAGTTACCAGAGTCTCGGCCTCAACTCTGCCGGCACGGGGTCGCATGTTGACACTAGAACTACAGGGACCTGGCTAGTACCTTGCACCATTCTTAGACCATGCGTGAGATGCTAGCGCGGATACGTGCCGTCAAGGAGCAGCAGTGCTGATGCAGATCGGGTTAAGCCCATCAGCCTCAGCATAGCGACCCGGATAGGCTTCCCGAGTCCGACTCTGCCTACTGGGGAAGATCAACCACGATCGACGGGGTCTTTCTACGGTACTGGGACGTTTCCCCTGGCCGTTGAACACAGTCCGTCTCGTTTTTAGACATTGACTAAGTAAACTTGAGCCTCCTTCAAAGAGTATATAGCTCAAACATGCTCACCCTCTTTCTTGGCTTTTGGGAGTCATCAGCAGTCACTCACTTAGACATCTGACAACGGTCTTTTCACACATTCGTTTCTTACTTTACCGAAAAGGTTAGCTGCCAAGATGGTTGCCATCAAAGGTATGGGAGGCGTCCTTGGCTGGTTGTTCTCCATCCAAGCGTCTCTGAGCCAAGATAAGACCAACGGGTATGACACTCTCTAAGCATAATTTGGCTGCATTGTCGACGGGATGTTTTCTTGGCTAACACTCGTGCAGAAAATCTCCCCTTGGCACTTTGAATGCTGCCAAGCTGCCACTCTTTATGAGAAACAACCCGCTACCCAACGGCTTTCCCTGGGGCAAGCTCTCCGCCGACGGCACCAACTACTACAAAGAGTGGCCCAACACCGGTGTTACCCGCAACTACGACTTCACCATCAGCCGCGGTGTGATCGCTCCCGATGGCTACGAGCGCAAGGTCCTGCTCGTGAACGGCGCTTTCCCCGGCCCTACCATCGAGGCCAACTGGGGTGACTGGATCGAGGTCAAGGTTACCAACAACATCGTCGACGGCCCCGAGGGAACCGCGCTCCATTGGCACGGATTCAGACAGCAAAACACCCAGTGGGAAGATGGTGTGCCAGCTATCTCTCAGTGCCCGATTGCCCCCGCCAAGACCTACACCTACAGGTTCCAGGCGACTCTGTACGGAACCTCTTGGTATCACTCTCACTACTCTTCTCAGTATGCCGGTGGCCTGTTCGGGCCTATTGTCGTCTATGGCCCCGCTAAGGCTCAGCCCGAGATTGATCTTGGCCCTATCATGATCTCTGGTAAGTGAATTTTTTCATACAACTATTGCTGGGAAAGCTACGGTTTCTTCCTCCTTAAGCGGCTGCCAATGGCTAGGTCAGCGTCAGCCAGCCCGAGTCCGGCGACGGAGATGTGGATACCCGGGAACGGTTCCATAGCCCAATGGAAACTCTGGTTTCGGGGTGGGGCTGCCCGGACGACCGAATGCAACGCCCGCAACCATTACTACTTCGGAAGGATCACGGCGCTAACATCTCCCAGATTGGTACCACAAGCAATACTTCGATCTCATTGAGGAAATTTTGCAGGTCAACGGCAGTGGGTTGGTCTTCTCCGACAACAACCTGATCAACGGCAAGGGTAACTTCAACTGCTCCACCGTTGCGACTGGAGACAACACCAAGTGCACCAACAACGCCGGTATCTCCAAGTTCAAGTTCCAGACCGGCAAGACCCACCGTCTTCGTCTCATCAACTCCGGTGCCGAGGGTACCCAGCGCTTCTCCATTGACGGACACACCCTGACTGTCATCGCCAACGACTTCGTCGAGGTCGAGCCCTATGACACAAAGGTCGTCACCCTAGGCATCGGCCAGAGAACCGACGTCCTCGTCAAGGCCAACGCCGACAACAGCAACCCCAAGGGTGCCTACTGGATGCGAAGCAACATCACCAGCTGCAGTCTCACCACTCAGCCCCTCGCCCTCGCCGCCGTCTACTACGACCAGGCCGACCAGACCAAGGCGCCCACCAGCAGTGCCTGGAACGTGCCTGACCCCGGTACCTGCGTTAACGATGATCTCGCTCTCACCAAGCCCATCATGAAGCTCAAGCCGGCCAACGTTCCTGTTACCAGAACCATGGAGATCAAGGTGTTCCGCAACGAATCTGGTATCGTTCAGTGGTCGCTTGGCGGTGTTGACTTCCGCGGCAACTTCAACGACCCCACGCTCCTTCAGGTTAACAAGGGTGACCTGACCTTTGACAACGACTGGAACGTCCAGAACTTTGCCAACAACGGCAGCGTCCGCATTGTTGTGAGCAACAACAGCCCTGCAGCGTAAGTTCATCTCCTAGTATCTTGCATCTGAATGCACGACTAACCTCCGCAGTCACCCCATGCATCTTCACGGTTTCAACATGTACATCCTCCACGAGGGTGACGGTCTGACCTGGGACGGAACCATTACCAACCCCGAGAACCCCCAGCGCCGTGACGTGCAGCAGGTTCGCGCTGGCGGCCACATGGTGATGCAGTTCGACTCCAACGAGAACCCCGGTGTCTGGCCCTTCCACTGCCACATTGCCTGGCACGCGTCTGCTGGTCTCTTCTCCCAGTTGCTGGTTCAGCCCGAGAAGGTTAAGCAGTTGCGCATTCCCTCCAAGGTCGGCGACGTCTGCAAGGACTGGTCCGCCTGGACCCAGAGAAACATCCCCGAGGTCATTGACAGCGGTCAGTAGATCTGAGCCCTTTTCTTTCTTTGTCTATAGTATCCATGGTGTACTGGTAGCTTTTACTTTCTTGGCTGTGTATTATTCGATTAGTGGGCGGTTTATAGATTTCACATTTGGGCGATTTGGTCTGTATATTTGGCTAGAGAAATCCAAATGACTTACATATTACGTGTTGACCCCTTTGATGAGTGCGGGCTGCCACCGACACGGAAGCTGAGGGTGCCCTCAGTCACTCAATACCTACAGTTTCAAATGGCCTAACAATCGTCTGGCGTTGGTCAGAAGGGCCAGGCAGGTAGGCTCTCGATCAGATGTCCCACAGAATGATTGATAACAAGGTGGGCAATCTGGTGCTGGGGGCGTATGATGCCATCGCCTTTGGCGCTGCTCCATGAGGTCAAAGAACCCCGTCAGGTACTTATTATCGTCCTGGCCATCGGCTCCAAAAATCTCTGTCTTCACGATATTGCGCATGATCTTCCCCCACTCCAACGGCGACACCTCTACCGAAAACAGACTCGGCGTGTTTCTGAGCGATGGATCGCCGTAGCTTGACGAACCTGGTAATGCACCGTGGACCCCGAGGCGCTTCTTCTCTCCGGATTCCGTGGCTCTAGTCTCTTCTGCTACAATCGCCGCTAACATTCTTTTGTACGACTCTGCTAGACATAGACAGAGGACCCCGAGCAAGGCGGCGTTCTGAATTATTGAGAAGTATCGGCGCGGGCACCTCTGGCAATTTAGAACTTGTAGGGCGGGCTCAAACGTGTTACGTAGTAGCGCAAAATCATCTGGTGCGACGAGGTGTTCTTTCACTCGAAGGTGCTCGAGCAGAAGATACAGCACTGAAAGGCAGGCGCAATTGTCTGTTGTTTGCTGGCTGTCTGAGGTAAGGGGAGGGAAAGCAGCGAGACCTTCGGACACGAGATCTTGGCTGGGACTAAGCTCATGGGATGTATTGTCAGTGGATTTGTTGCTTGAATAGCCTCTGAAGCAGTACAGAGCTACGACTATACCCTTGATGATCCTCCAAGTCTATGAGATCTGGGTGGATCGCAAAAGTCTCCGAATTGACAGAGCTGATTCGCGGGCTGGTTGACCCGAGAAGTACGCCAAGCTCTCGTGTATTACTGTTTCCAGCGTCCGAAGCAGCGTCTGTATGAACGGGAGAGAGCAATCTGGTCGAGGCATTCCGCCGGGGTAGTATCCGTTCCCGACGGATTGGTTGGGACGATTGGGGACGAGCACGACGCGATGTCGGCCTACCCATTGGCTTGTGAGGGGAGTAGTAGCATTCCCGATCAGCGGACATGCATTTAAAGCAGATCGGACGTTCTCCAGTACATCTGATCTTTTTCACTCCTGAAGAGACAAATATTAGCCCAATTGCTTCTGTGTCAGTGCCAAAATAGTAGAGTCCACAACGCACGACAAGCCTCGCATGATGCTCGTAGACCTGATCCTCCGGTGGGCACATTTGGAGCCATTATGTACCGCTGGAGCCTTACGAGGAACTTGGATAATTATGTTTCCGGGAAAGGTGATTGTGGACAACGGGCTGGAGAAAGTCGTGCAATGTTGAGTGATGAAAGAAAGATGAAGTCAATATCATTAAACAAAGCCACGGAGGATTTCCAAATCTACGTGAACGGAGACTTTCATCATCACTGATTGGCTCAAAGTACCCGTTCGACCCACCATCACGGAGGCCGTCACGTTCCCCACTCCCCAAGTAGCATCCCCGGCTCGATGCCGATCATGTATAATTGGGCAGGCCGACGGGAAGCTGGCATCATGTGCTTTGCTACCTTGAACAAACTCCAACTTGTCGCTCTCTTCGCAGTGTCTCTCGCGAACCATTTACTATGCATTTACTTTAGATGTTGCCGTAGCTTGGAAGTTTCTAATGATGAATTGCTGTGATGAGATGGTAGATTGATATTTTTCCAGACTTATGGGCCCTATCATGAAGTACCGATGCTATTACATATTACTCCAGCCGACCGATATGCTGAAGTTCCTCGAAGCTTGTAATAATGCCACCCTTTGATTCTCGTCCTGGCACTAGTCATGCACTCGGTCCAAGTGTCTGCAAGACTTCGGACACGCCCTCACGGAACAGCAGCATAGCATAGATGCTGTGGAACCTAAGTAAGATACCGGACAGAGGCTGGTTCCGAGTAGGATTGCACGCTGTTGATTCATACATGACTCTGGCTCTTGTCGACTTCTCAGGGTTCCGGATGATGCTGAACCGATGGGCGCCTGCGAACTGACTGTTGTCTTTCCCGAAGACAAAGTCGACACTGCTCTCTGTTTCCGGCACCGCCTGTGACTCTTTAGGGTTGATGACATTGGCGTGGCTGATTTGAAACGTCCCCAACACTACTGAGTGTACTGGGGGGAGTTTCTCGCATGACAGGTCCTCCGATTTCCATATTTGGTTTGATGCTGAGATCGAATCCAGGCCTTGCCCCTAGTCAGAAAGACTTCACAAGCGGGTACGAGAAACAGTGGCTTACCAGTGTATGACACTAAGCTCAGTCGTGCTATCTGCAATAGACGCCTCTCAATCGCTATAACCTTTCCTGCAAAGAACCCACGGACGAAAGTCGCCAATAGGACCTCGTCGCTTAGGTCTTTTGCGAGTTCAGGCAGGTCCAAATCCATGGCAAATGTGTCCGCTGATGAGATGTGTCCTTTGGGGTTTACAAGAGTCTTGAGAGTGTGCGATTGTTTGAAGTTCTCCGAAAGACTGCTAACAGAGACTACACGGCGCGAATCGACCGCCCTTATGCTCGCATAGACATCCCAGCTATGCTTCACAAGTAAGGCGCAAGGAATGGCTGCTGCTAGCGCGAGGCCATAACGTCCGCCGATGTATCGTAGACCAAGGGCCATATTCTCGAAGGCGATATTCTGTTAATCAAGATGAGTAGAACTCTGATACGTGTGTGGTTTCCTATGCCAATTGAGTCAATCACACACTATGGATGTTACCCTGAGCATTTTCGGCAATTAAGTACGACAGAGGCTCAGAAGCTGACATGTCACACGAAAACAGCCCGCGATGTGTTCGCGCCGGCTTTACCCGCGCCTAGTTCTCAGCTGTTGATGCTAACGCTCATCCGGCCTAACTTCATTTTCGGCGCGTAAGAGTCCTAGTTTGTTGATTATTCTGAGCAGACCATTGTCGTAAGCAACAGATCACCTGGCTATGTACCCATTTTTTGAGATGACTCAATCTACAAGTCCAGTCTTTCTAGGCTCGGAGAGTCAGAAACCAATGTCTTGTAAGAAATTGAGTGAGTTGATGTTTTTCGTGCTGCCCCGCCCCCACTAACCCCTAGTGCTCAAGGCAGAAACACCCAGCGTAAGACGGACTGTTGACCCGCCCATAACCTTCCGAGACTGCCATGGTGATTGTCATTGCCTGGCGGGAAGGGACAAAACATTCAAAGCCAAAGTATTGCATTGAAAAGATCATTTTTCTCACTGCAAAGACCCGGTCCTTGGAGACCTTCAGAGATGGTCGAAATAGCCTGTCCAGCCACCGTACTTCCTTAGGTACTCCGCACTATCCAACACAGGGAACGTTGGGGCAGTTCCAGCAGGCAACTTAGTTGTGAATATAGCGGCTAAGGTCTCATCCGCCAGCAGGAGCTCAGACATGCACACTGTTGAAACTTCTCGCTGAGCGCGGGGCTCTTGTCATAGGACTGTTGAGCCATCTGCAAAGTTGATAGCGCACTTGCAGAGGCGCCTTGTTTATAAAACTATAGAAATATACAGTCTATTCACGGTCGCGGAGAAATAACTTCATCGTATCAAGCCCAGAACATCGCCTTCATCTCAGTCAAAATGTCATCGTCAGACGAGAAAACCCTCCACCTAGTTGGCATCGGCGTAGGCCACTCAATCGCACCCCCAATGCATAACGCCATCGCCAGATCCCTTGGCCTCCCCTGGACATTCCACGCCACTGAGTGCAACACAATCGAAGGCCTCCTCCTCCTGGCGCGCAAAGACTCCACAGCAGGCCTCGTCGTCACAATGCCCTACAAAAACACAGTCATGCCTCGTCTCGATGCCTTGGACCCCCTCTCCACCACCATTGGCGCCTGTAACAACGTCTACCGCGACCCGTCTAACCCGGCGCGGTTGAGGGGTACGAATACGGACTGGCTGGGTGTGAAGGGGTGTCTTCTTGAAAAGGGAGATGGGCAAGGTCCGGTGGACGGGAGACCTGCGTTGATTGTGGGTGCCGGAGGCGCAAGTCGCGCTGCGGTGTATGCTTTGCATACGTTCTTTAAGGCTTCTGTCATCTACGTCTTGAACAGAGATGATGGGGAAGTAGTTGATCTCCAGCGAGACGCTCAACGGATGTTTCCCTCGCCTAAGATTGTTCACGTCAAGGAAGGGGAGTCGAAGGCGCTGGAAACGCCGTACTACGTGGTCGGAACGGTGCCGGATTTCGAGCCTACATCGGCGTCAGAGTTAGCGGTGAAAGCATCGCTGGAAGACTTTCTTTCACGGCCGGAGAAGGGCGTTTTGCTGGATATGTGCTTCAAGCCGCGCCGGACAAGGATGATCAAGTTAGCAGAGAGCCTTGGGTGGCCTTCGGTAGAGGGAACGCATGTCATTGGGTACCAGATTGAGGAGCAGTGGAAGCTTTGGGCTGGGGAGGAGAGGGTCAAGAAGTTAGATAAGGATTCGGCGTGGAGAGTGTTGTTGGAGGCGGCTGACAATAGTCCAGGAATCAACTTTTAAGTTTAATGCCTTAAGGAATTGAGTATTACCAGACTAGAACAAGAGTGAAATCCGATTGACAGTGACAAACTCGGGTAATACTACACTTCCTCATCACGAGTAGATCAATTCAGTTGCAAACGCTGTACGAGCTTCTTCCAAGCTTCGATGCCTCTCCGCGCATGCTCTTCGGGCACCTTCTTGTGCTCCTCCGCCATAGTTCGCGAGAATAGTTCCATCGAGACCCACCCCTTATACCCGAGCCCTTCAATCAACGTCCGAGCAACCTCCTCAACCGGCAAGTAAGCCCCGCGATCCGTCTCATACATGTACGTTCTCGCATTCCTGGACCACATCATCCTCGGCGGATTCCCGTCCACGTGGAAAGGGTGGCCCTCTACGAGAGGCTGTTCCATCCGCTCGGCGTCAACAACCTGTATGTAAAATACCTTTTCCAAGTCGACACTTTGCACCAATCTCTCCATCGATGCCTTCAGGTCTGCGTCTGCGTTGAGGGTCTTCCCGGACGGAGATGCCGGGTCTCCCCAGACTCGGCCGGCGATGTTGAAGGTGTCGAGGCAAAGGCCGAAATTTGGGCGGTCAACACGCGTGGCAACCTCCCAGGACTTCTCCCATGTGTCGATGTGGGTGCTCCAGCATAAGCTCTCGTACGCAAAACGGATTGGCGGGTCTTCTTTGAGCCCTAGGTCTGCGAGTTCGACTAAATCAGCAACGATGACGTCCATGTCGCCAGTGAGCTGGTCGGCGGGAAGGAAGTTGGCGGGGATCTGGATGGTGTTCGTCCCCAAGGTCTTTGCCATCTTGAACCAGAGCTTGATCTTCTCGATGAGGCGGGCATGTTGATCTCTGTCCAAAAGACCCTCGTAGAATAGGAACGGCTGCAGCCCAATGATTGTTATCTTCAGATCTCCAAGAACATCGTGGACATGGGATGCGGCGGCAAGGAGGTGCTCCGTTGCAGGCTGATCGACATTGTGGAGCTTCTTGGCGACGTATTCAAGATCCTCGTAGAAGATCTCGATGCCTTCGAAGCCGCACTTTGCTGCCTCGGCGGCTTTCTTGTCAAAGTCATGAACCCAGGCGCGACCGAGAGACGCAGAGAGTACAGCGGGTCGGAAGACGGTCATGGTTGGACGTGGCGACCGTGACTGATGTGGTATGAGGCGAGAGACTGGGTATCGCAGTGGTAAACAAGGCCTCCAGTTAGACCTCAGATATTTGAGACTATTGGTTTAATGTTCAATCATCCGCCATTAGGCATTAACCCCGCACTTCAAGCAAAGTTGGTAACTTGACGTCAGCTGTGCCGAACGCGGGTGATGTCAAAGATGGCAGTTCGAGTGGGCGGCTAAGCGTAGTTCCGGTCTGTTCCAATGGTATCTACTGCGCATTCCCGCAATTCTGAATGATTCAATCGTTTCCGTCCGAGCAAGAACATGCTTTAACCGGGCTCTTGGTCAAAGAAAGACTGAATGTCCGTCGCCATGTTGCCTACAACTCCGAGATGCCGCATGAATTCTGGCGGATTTGCCGACCTATTGCCATGTGTTAGATGTTGAGTTGCAGATGGTACTGGGGACATTTACCAGTCGGCTGAGTCGAGATCGGCAAGGCTCAGAAAGAGTTCGTCGCCGATACTCTCTGTCGCGGTATCCATCAGCTGACTGAAGCTTACTTGCGCTTCGGATTGAAACGGCTGAAGGTCCGATTGATGCACTGGTGTAGAATCTGGGATGACTTCCATCGTGACTGGCTCGATCAGGTCGATTTCACTGTCAGATGTCGGGGAAGGGTTGTTTCTAAGGGACTCCCTGTTCTTGGCATCCGTCAAAGCAGCCTTTAGAAGTTGTGAATCTCTAGGAGGTCTTGCGAGTCCCTCGCTACTCAAATGGCAGTCGCACGCGATTTCAAGGCTGATAAGAAAAACGATTGTTGTCGGAGGCATGCGGAATGTCTTTGTGCTCTCGAGAAGTTGAAGCAGAGGTTGCCCCTGAATAAGCGTTTCCCAGGGTGCCTTGGTCGACATCCCACGTTGTGTGCCGTCCAAACGCTGCACCTGTGTTCTGAGGGTTTCGGAGATACTGGCGCAAGCGAGATGGAGATTTGTATCCTGGGGCGAAGTCTTGCCATCATTTCGATTTCCAAGATTTAGCGAATGATGCTCTCCCCAATCTTCAAAGTCCTTGATGATCTGATGACAACGACTGTAGCTAGCGCTTTGCATCCTGAGTCTCAAAATATCATTCAAAATACAAACAAGGAGGAACAGAGAATTGAACGTGCTCAATACCAGTCCTGGTACGTGGCTCGGCGTTAGAGATTGGTTATTCAAATCTTTTGACTGCCAGGGCTCCCACTCTTCCATGGACTCTGTGGCAAGTAGTCCCAACCTCTGTGCGTCTGAGCGGTCAAGATATGGTCGAGACTTTATCCAGCTTGCAACGAGCGCGTCAAGAACAAAGACACACATCAGTGTTCGCCGTGTGCCCTCGTCTTTGTGCGAGGGTCCGTCTGCGACTGCAGGAAGAAATAGCATAGCGGCTGAATATGTAGCCTGGCCGACTGCGAGCCACGCAGCTCCACTGTCTTCCTGCTCCATTCGGATGAGTGTGACGATGAGTAGTGCTCGTATGTGACCGATCTGATGCTTTCCGTTGCCCTGGGACAGACTATCTGTCGCCGACCTGAGAAAGGGCTCTGAAAGGTCCAACGATCCAGACTGTCGCAAAGAATAGGCCATGACCGTCCAGATAAAGCAGAGATCCCCACTCCCGATCACAGGCGATGTATTGGTATCTTTATCGCTGTTGGCCTTGAGATACACTAAACGCAAGAGATCGTGCTTCTGTACCATGGGCAGCCACGAATGCGTGTTGGCAAAGTAGATGTCCAGGAGCTGCGCCCAATTTGGAGGCATTCCCGGAGTGCAGACATGGTGTTGTGGTGTTGGGACCTGCGGCATGGTCAAGGTGTTCTTTGGGAAAGTTGGGTGAAACGAATAAAGTGACAGAGTCGAGTCAACATCTTGTTTCCCTAGAGTGATTGTTCCAGCCGGCGAGTAGTCATCTTGGCTGATGTTGGTGTATGTGGGGGTTATCATGTCCAAACCATTGTCGACAGTCGAGATCTGGTCTGCCGAGACTTTTGCTGCGAGCTTGATGGCCTCTTTTATGCCCGACTCAAACTTCTTGAAGGCTTCGCCGTCTTCGAGGCTGTCTGCAGGTTCGTCAACAGATAGAAGTCTCTCAATTTTCTTCCAGGTTTGGCTCGTCCTCCAGGAATCCGCAAGTGTATCAGTGACATCCGTGTTGGAGCTAGCAAGCAGACTCAAATCCCGTAACCCAAATTTGGGCCGCCGGTCTTCCCCCTCGAGTATTGCAGTCAGCCATTCATCAGCGTCGTCAATGGTGTTGACTATCATTCCTAGGAGAAGTTCGAGGGCCCGTACGTATCCCGTACGCAAGCCGCGTTTCTTCGCAGGTCCGTAGCTACAGCTACGTCCGATGCTTAGGCACGAATTACAAGAGGGTCGGATCCCATCACAGCGGTCTTTGCGTCTTCGACACTCGTTGCAGGCCCTGGTGACTCGTATTCTGACTTTTCCCTGGGCCGTAGCACCTTCCTCGGACTCTTCTCCAGCGTAATTCTTGGTCTTTTTCGTTCGTCGCGGGGTCGTCAGTGGTGAGCCGTCGTCGTCCTTGCCCCTAGATTGTCGTTTGGGTGGATGGGTGGCCATCTTGCCAGCCTACTCGGTGTGACTGGGTATAAGAGCGTGGCAACATTGAATTGTAAGTCCAATGGAGGCTGTCATAGAAACTATTTCCTAGCCTTCAGGTAGATTGTCCACGGTGTTCTGCAGTATCAGCCCAGATGAGAAGGCACATGGGCAGAATACGTGGTCATAGCCCCACTAGCTGCATGTACTTACTAGGAAAGTGCGTCAATGGAGGTATGCAACACGGCGGTAAGCTGCCGTGCTGCCTTGCAACTGGATTGCCCCCGATTGCGTGCGTAGAACGAACGGGAATCCATCTACCTTCATCTGATTCCCTGCCAATGGATTCGTCCAATAATAGAATAAGAATCGTACGAAATTTAGTGTAGAGTTGCATGCGCAGCGATACCCTCACGTATGTAGTGTTTTACTACACTCCGGAAGTAGTATTCATCTAGAGCCTATACCTGTGTACCCGGAATCAGGCGGCTAAGATCTTTGCCGCCAAGATTTCCCACTTCGACAAACGAATTCATCTCACTGATCACTTGGGTTGGAACTTATTTGCAGGCATCAGTCTCATAGTCCTTCTTTGCTTTATGGTCAACTTCTAATACCTAGGGGAGGCAAATACACCTCAGTCTTGGTTGGCTTTTTCACAGTGCTCATTCGGATATGATTGGATCGAAGTGCATGGTAAGTAATATCCCTTCGTTGCAGCATGAGAGGGGTTCTCTAACTATTTTCCATCAACCTTTAGCCGACAACGAATCGCCCTCACACGCGACATTGCTAGCAGCCAACATGGTCCGCGATTGCCGTCAGCTGAAAATTCCTACGCTTTCTGCTTCATCCACCGACCAAAATACGCATCTTTGGATCGCGAGCGCGCGTTCCAGGAGATGATCTACTCTCTGGCCTACCAGATATCTCGAGCACTCCCTGAACACGCACACTTTAAGGCAGGTCTCGTCGTGAAGGTCAAATCACTGCCTGCGGTCCCGCAGACTCATTCCCAAGTGACCCGCAGCTCGGCTCCAGCAGTCAACCTTTTCGAGTCCCTTCTAGATTACCTCCCTCCGCTGTTGTTCTGTGTGGTGAACAGGTTCCAGCTTGGATGGTTTCTGCAGGGATTTGCAGCAAGCTAGAAAGAGCCAAGGTCTAGGACATGTTGGACTCGAGGATGATGGATTTTGAGTCCATGGCTCTTCGTAGTAAATCGATGAAGCCACTGCTAGAGGGGTAACTTTTCATTTTCGCCGATTGAAGGTTTAGTAGCTGGGAGGTAAGGTAGCTCAAGAAGATGACTTGATCGAAATTTATTTATGCCTTGGGCTTAATATTCTTCACGGCATGATCAATCGCATATCCGTACCCATGGATTCCCAACCCCATAATAACCGCCACCGCCTTATCGCTCAAATAGCTGTGATGCCTGAAGCTTTCTCTCGCGTGTGTGTTGCTAATGTGCAGCTCGATGAAGGGGATATCAACGCCCAACAGCGCGTCGCGGATGGCGACGCTGGTGTGCGTGTAGGCGGCCGGGTTGATGATGATGACGTCGACGTTGCCCCGCGCCGCGTGTATGCGCTCGACGATGGCGCCCTCGGTGTTGGATTGGAAGGATTGAAGGTCTGCGCCGAGGGACTTTGCGTGTTCTTTTGATTGCGTCTCGAGCTGGGACAGTGTGGTTGATCCGTAGATGTGCGGCTCGCGGGTGCCAAGGAGGTTTAGGTTGGGGCCGTTGATGAGGAGGATTGACTTTGCCATTGTGACTGCTATTTCGGACTATCCGTAGTATTGGAAGATGGATATCTGTGAACTGTAGGACAGATGCAGGACGCTTCGTAAGACGAATTGGTAGGACAAATGATAATGTGCAGAAGAGATCTTGAACTTGCAAACGCAGCTAAAACGCAGGATCCAAAGATTTCAAGTAGTGACCTCCAAGAGCAAACTGGTTAAACAATTTCCCCATATTCCCCTCAAACCATCTCCGCGTGAACCGAGTCAAGCCCAAAATCGCTCCGTGAATCGGTGCGGGGAAAGAAGATGCGGGACCCCCGCGCCCCCGCGATCCCAATCGCGGCAAAGTTTTCATCCGTTCGGCCTTTGCCAAACGCCCCGAAATGGAAGAGCCGGATAATGTGCCGAATAGCGAAGGATTCACTAATACGATGGCCTCGTGATTGGCTTAGTCATTTACATGATGTCTTTTCCGCAGTGTGAGGTCTGCATCGCGATGTGTACTCATTTAGGAGTTCATAACTTGACTTGTAAGGAAACATACCATTGCTCCTGGATCTGTTTGCCATTCTCAGAAATGCCTGACTTACACAACCTTCCCGCAGGGTCTCGTCCTACCAACGCCATCCGCAATAATGGACCAGACCACTTGGTTCTGGAACGACTAAAATTGAGAGAATTGGCAGAAGGATGGCCGTCTTATAGGTAAGATTATCACTCGAAGTTGAGGTAGATAGGTAAACATCTTGTCATGTTGAAGCTGACCAGTCTCCAATTTCCAGGGACGCATGCGAATGGGAAAACTTCGAATCCATCTTCCACCCAGGAGCTTATGTCTATACCACGTGGTCAGGCCGCGTTCCCTTCACAGACTTCATCGCAGCTTCGAAGGCAGGGATGGACAAAGGCGCCTTCATCATGCACCGCTGCCACGGCTGCAGCACAGACATCAACATCGAAGGTACCAGAGCCGTGACCAAGCTTAAGGCGACAATTACGCAGCGATTCGAGATTGATGGCGTCGAATTTGACGTGGAAGCCGACTGCCGCTTCTGTTTCTACTTTGAGAAAGTGGGAGACCGTTGGGGAGCGCGTTTGGTGCGGCATTGGTATGAGAAGGATAAGGTGATCCCGTGCAATCCGTCCAAGTTCCCCAAGATTGATGAGGAGAGGTTGGTTGCTTTTCCTCCTGGCTACAAGTATCTTGCGTACTTCCAGGAACTTACGATGGGTGTCAAAGTTCTTCTGGATATGCCTGGGCATCGCCGGCATGTTGGGACGGTAAACCTGGAGAAGCACGACTTGCTTTACTGGCAGGCCAAGGAATGGCTTAAAGGGAAGGCAATAGACGTATAGGATGCATTTTACATTACGACAGCAAAACTCGTTGTCAAACCTTGTGGATGACTCCGTGTCAAGTCACTACCAAAACCAAGGACATTTTGTTTCGTACTAGCGCTAATGTGTAATTTTTGGGTTGGTGATGATTGTTCCGTGAGGCATAGTCAAACTCTCTGATGTTCTTCTATTGTTCTCGGTAGAATTCACCATCTGGGATACTCAGTGCGAAAATGAAGCTTCTGTTCAAGGATTGTCTTGTGCTCTTTCTTTGATCTTGGCCAGCATCGCAGCCCTCATCGTCTCGACGGGTGCTTCTCTCCTAGTCCACAGCTCGAACTGAGCATAAGCCTGTTCCTCCAGCACATCAACCCCCTTGAACACCGTCCATACCGAATGTCGTGATGCCATCGCCATCATACCAGTGACCTGCGGCCTGTACGCCATTTCAACCAAGACCCCCGCCTCAGAAGCAGAAAATAGTCCAGCCGGAATCTTCTCCTCGCCAAGGTTATCCGCTGGAACACAAGCGACAATAATTCTCAAAGGAAGCATATCCAAGCCCTCTCGCTCACTTTCAGCAGATATGACATCTTCCAAGGTTGCAAAAATCTGACAGTCAAGATGAGGAAACTGTTCCGCCATCTCAGCTGCCTTCGATACCGTCCGGTTCACAACAAGCAGCCTCCGAATCCCCAACTCCTGAATAGCATAACACGCAGCCCGCGCTGCTCCACCGGCTCCCAGAATTAAAGCCGTCGAAGAACCGAAATCTGTAAGACCGCCGCGCTCGATACATCTCCTAATCCCATGCCAGTCCGTATTATCACCCAGAAGTCTCCTACCCCCCGTCTCCGAGCCTTCCTCGACGATGACGGTATTCACGGCCCCAATCTTCTGCGCACAGGGAGTAATCGCATGTAAGAGCCTGCCGATTTGCAATTTGTGTGGAAACGTGACTGATGCGCCGCCAAAGTCTTCGGCTTTGATGATGGCTTCTACGGTAGCGTCAACGCTCTCTGTTTGATGGATGCCGTAATGGTGAGGGAGGGCGAGCTCTCGGAAGCCCGTGTTATGAATTGTTGGGGAGAGAGTGTGGGAGATGTTGTGGCCAAAGATGAAGAAGTTTTTTCTCGGGGTGGCGGGGGCTGCTTCGATGGACCCCATAGTCTCTTGGAATTTGGTGTCTTTGGCTGCTGAGATTTGCTAGCTTGGGCTATGAGATCGAGGTGCGCATAGAGTTGGAGGCCAGAAGGTTCATGTGAGGTCTCGGTTCCAGGTGACTGGGGTTAACTCAGACTACCGATACTTCGCTCGGTAAAGTTGACATAAGACGTGATTATGAACTGGCAAATATAACAAGGTGGGATGATTGCGATCAGGCTCGGCGGTCAGCAGCTTGGCATGTGTCTTAGTAGCGACGGTAAAGGTCTTTACCGCTGCTCTCAAGCTAGCCACCAGCTAATGTGGGCAATAATCCAAGACGAAGCACTACATCTACGCAGTCATCATCTCTTCATGCGCTCACCCATCAATGCACATCTCTATCATTGACCCATAACCATACGACCTTCTCTTTATGGCGGGGCATGTTGTGAATGAAAGGTCAACATTAAAACGCTACGTTCACATGAATGCTAATTTTGCCAAGTTCTAACCTCTCGTCGGCATCTTTCCGCCTTCTGCGAGCCTTTCCTTATATGCACGCGAGATTAACTCGCGCATCATCTCAATCGGGGGCTTACGTGCCGTGAAGAGCTCAAATTGCCTCTTACCCTGTTCCGGCAGAACACTTAGGCCGTCAACGGCGATCCACCCTTGGTCGCTCATGCCGCGGATTTGCCTCAGGAGAGGTGTCTCGAGAGGCGTATATGATAGCTAGAAACACAGGTCAGCAGTTGAACAACCATTCGTTCCATTTAAGAATCATGGAGCTTACCTCAATGGCCACTCCGCCCGTGGGACTGCCTAGCCAGCCCGAGGGTAGACTCGTATCAGCTGACGACTCCCCGTTGACCTCGCGCGTAGATATACACGAGACCACAATAGTAGGGAAATCAGCATCGTCCGGCCACTTGTCATCTTTAGACTCAATCACCCGAATCGTCGGACAGCTCGCAAGAGCATCCACTTTCTCCGAAGCGTTGACTTCTGTTGGCGTCGTGGCTCCGTCGCTCGTGAATCGGTACCCGTTGAAGTGCCGTACCACCTCCTCTGCCGTCTTCGCCGTTCGATTATGTATGAACACGGAGCGAACACCAAGTCTCAGGAGCCCGTATATCGCCGCGCGCGCCATACCTCCCGCCCCCACCACCAGCGCCGTCGTACGTCTTTTGACGCCGTTAATGGGGGACAGATTGTGTCGGATACAGGTATGAATCCCGATCCAGTCCGTATTATCGCCATACAGAGCAACGACTGGGCCGGCTCTGTTGCGATCAAGCAGAGACTCGATGTTACGCGACCGCAGCGGTACCAGCGTATTGACGGCGCCGATGGCCCTGGCCTCGGGACTCGTGAAGTCGACAATGGCAAAGACTTCTTTTTTAAAGGGGGCCGTGATACTCGCGCCACCAAAGTTCTCGTCGGAGATGAGCTTGCGCAGGTGGTTAAGGGTAGGCTGGTGAAAGATCTTGTACTCGTGCGGCATACCGCAGAATTTGAACGCGGGATTATGCATACACGGAGACAGACTTGTGGAGGCGTTGGTGCCGTAGATGCCAAAGTACATGGGGTCTAGAAGGAAGGAAGAATAGAGCGCCTTTTGCGCTTCGTGGATCGTCAAGAGGCAGTGAGGCGAGCCACCGGGTGCCAATCTTCGGAGCAGGTTCATGGTGACTGGCGTGAATGTTGGGTTCATGAAGCAGGACATGCGGCCCAGACGGCCTGTGTTGTACGCGATGAGCGGGATTGTTACGTCTCTGGGTTTCCCAGCGCCGTGCTTGAAGTGCTGGATCTCAAAATTGTCTTTGGTTGATTTGGCCTCGCGACATATGCGGACAACGTCGCAACCCAGATCCTCAGCCAACCTCATCTTGTCTTCCAGGTCCGGATTGCGCCAGCCGCTTGAGGAGAGAGAGTTGCAGGTGTAGTGGGCGATAATCTTTGTTGTCCCTTTGCTTGCGACGAGATCTTGGATGACGTTTTCATCGCAGCGGAGATCCACACATAGGTATTCTGGGGCGAGACGGAGTCCGTGATTCAGGACGCTCAAGTAGTATGCTGAGGCGTGTTCTGGAGAGAAGCCGCCCATTATGCCTGTGGGTGATGATTCAAGTTCGAGGTTGAGGATAATAGGGAGGCGTGTGAACCTCCTGACGGCGTATAGCAGACGGCAGACGCGATTGGCAGTTGCATCGTCGAACTCGGCCGACGTTGCCTGTAGTTCCCTCACAGGAATGACTAACTCTGCGACGTCGGCAGTCGTCGTGATATTTCGAAGTTCCGCGCCGGCGGTCTCTACCAATGACATTGGCAAGTTGAGAGAATAAGTGTAAGGCCGGCGCTCTAATGGTAATGAGGCAGAGCCCTCGGTAGCCCTGTACCGTTCCGAGCCCTGTCTATCGCTTTCCATGATGCTGTCAATGAGTCCGAGAAAGTCGTACTCCACTCGCTTCAATGCAAGAGACCTCGGTGACTGGTGGCCGGGAATCGTTGCGACTTCTCCTGAGGCCTTCCCTAAGGTATCTGAAATGTTGTAAAATTCAAAGTTAGATATCGATCGATGTGTCGGGCCACTCAGTTGGAAGAGCCGCGTGATGGCCTCAGTATCCCACACCTTGAGATGCTTCTTCACATCTTCCGCATCTCTCAGGACATAGATAATGGGATGGGTCTGCCCATATTCCGCAAGCCAAGCCTGTCCCGTTCCCTCAACAGCCCCAGGCCCACACGCAATGATAGACTTTGTCGGATTCTCAAAAAGCATAGAATGCAGAAGCTTCAGCTCTTCCCGACGATACTCGGCGGTGCCGTGCTGCGTCTTGTAGCTGGCGCGGGAGAGGCCTGTCATCTGGAAAAACTGCTGGTCGGCGTCGAGTAAGCGGAACCCCAACGCGCTGGCCGCGATCACGGCGAGAGTCGAGCGGCCTGTCCCTCGGATGCCGACAAGCACAATGGAGGCGTCGGGGGCGTAGCTGCGTCGGCCGGGGGTGAAGCCGTGCCATGATGCGTGTGGGGGTGATTGTTGGCCAAAGGGCTTGGTAGAGGTGACGGCTGGCCCGACCAGCGGTAGAGTCGGCGTCATCTTGGAGGCCACTTTCTACTTGAAAGGGGAGCCCTTTGGGTCTTGAATCTGGGCTTCAACTTGGACGAGGTTGGCAGCACCTCAAATTTGGAGAACCTGGGGCAGATAGCGCTGGCATGAACCACGGTTGGAATGGGGTCATGGATGTATCCACATCCTTCTGGCTTCGAGTACTTATTCCAACAGCTTAAATGAGCATGAACCGAGTGAAATGTGTGGGGTCATCGATGGTACCTTGGGTACTCATAGTTCTGACTTATCTTCCCTCCTGAAGCGGCCAATGTTGAAGGAGCCGAAGGGGTGGTTTACCCCGGAGTCGGGGCCCCGGAGATTTCTTCACGAGAGCGGGGACCCATAACGTGGCGGCCGGCAAAGGGCTTACCCGGTCGCCATGGATCCCTGCGCATCAACTCTGTGTACTCCTCGCCACTCTCAACCCTCACACGCCTGCATCTGTGGCAATCACTCCCATCTTTGTCGCAGCTAGTTGAGAATCCTGTGTCTGTATGGAAAGACTGGTTCCTCGTGTTGATTGAGCGCTTTGTCGTAAAATGTCAAAAAACAGCAGAGGGAGGTTGAGAATAATCTAGTCTTCATATTTCCATTGTCCAATGATCTAAATATCCAGATTTCCTCAACTCCAAGAATTCCTCTGTCCGAATGCTAGAAAAACCGTCAACCGTCCATGCAAAAGACGCCATATGATGCTTGTGATACTAATTAAGGTACCGCCGCCTCAATTTCGATGCAGCCTCTCAGTTCACTTGCGCTTGACCCCTTGCCCTTTGGGCACTCTCACAAGCCAATACAGACCGCACGCAGCAACAACATTAAACACAATGTACACCCACAAAAGCCCAAAATTCCTCCATCTATCATCGTACTTGATCTCAAACGTCGCGAGATAATCGTCCGTGGTATTCATCCGACAGTATCCACACGTCTCCGTCGCCGCGACATCCACCAAATACCCACCAGCGCGCTGGACAAAGGAGCCGAGGAACTCGCCGCAGGTCATGTTCTTCGGCACCGGAACAGACACAATCTCCTTCGCCGTGCAAACGACCTTGGAGCCATGAAGACAGGTCGACAGCGCACCACTCACGAGGTACGTCATGGGACTGACCCAGTACATGAAGTCGCTCCAAATGCCGGGTAAGTCGGCGCGGATGACACCGACGCCGCAGAAGGACATGCAGAGGATGGCAAAGAGACTGGCTGGAATGCTGGCAAGATCGGCCGTCTCGATCGCGGCGATGGCGAGCTGGGAGAATGTGCTGACCCAGAGGAAGAACATCCAGATGAAGAGGAAGACAGTGAAGCCACGGGTCGTGACGTCTTCAGGGGTGGTGTTGCGGTAGAACTTCGCTGGGTAGTACCAGCAGAAGAAGAAGATGACGGCGGCGATGGTGTTCCAAATCATCTCGATGGCGATATTGGACAGGAAGTATGCTGCAAATGGATTAGCCTGGTTGATGAGGGTGCCTGTGATGCGGATGCTTACTCGTCCATCGATAGACGCGAGACGGCCTCTCTCGCACTTCGTAAAGTGCCCTCTGTGGAATGAACATAGGCATGATCTGCTTGCTGAATTCGTTGACAGTCGTGAGGCACATGAAGAAGGCGTAAAGCTGATTCTGTAGTCCTTGCAAGCTGTTGTCCGATTTGAACGTGAATCCGATGTAAAGAGCCTTGACAAGGTTGTTCAGTACACATGCCACCCAGTAGAAAATTTGCTGATCTTACCAGAAGAATCGTCAGAGTAAGTTTTGACCAGATATACACAGGAGACCTCCAAAAGTGCTTGGCCGTACGAACAAAGACTTGTACGAACTGGGTCCAGAACGACGAGGCAAACTCTTGATTAGCGACATCGTAATCCGCAGCTTTCGTCATGGGTTTTTCTTGCCCCTGTTGTCGCAGAAGCCCGAGTTCATTCTTCACCTCGCGGTACTCTGGAGACGATCGCCAAATCTCGTACCAATTCGGTCCGTCCTCGGAAAGCGTAGTAGCCTTCAGCATCCACTCCGCAGGATTGGCTTCAGGAGGGCATGGCGATGCGCCGTTACGTTCGAGATAATCGATCATGATCTTGGCGCTTTTACCAATATCTACACACATGTGAGCTAGAGGCAATTCAGAGGAAATATCAGGCCACTCCTTCCGACTCCCTCTTGATGTGTACACCACCGGGTATGCCAATAGAAGATGTCCGAGGAAGAGTGACAACAAGACAGTAACTTACCTCCAAAATACACAGTCTTCCCCCCACGCTGCAGTAGAAGCAGCCTATCGAAACGGGCAAAAAGCATTGCTGATGGTTGATGAATTGTACACAGAATCGCCTGTCCACTCTTCGCAAGTTTTTCGATGAGATCGCAAATCGCCCAAGACGTCTGGGAATCGAGGCCCGAGGTCGGTTCATCAAGAAATACCAGCAATTGCGGCCGAGCAGCGAGCTCTACTCCGATTGTTAATCGTTTCCGCTGTTCCACGTTAAGGCCCTGGCCAGGAACTCCAATAACCGCATCGACAAAGTCACTCATGTCGAGCAGCTCAATCACTTCGTCGATGTACGCCAACTTGGCCTCGCGAGGGATTTCGGCACTTTGTCGCAATAACGCACTGAACTCGAGGGCCTCTCGCACGGTCATCGTGTCCAAGTGGACGTCCTGCTGCTGGACATATCCGACGCGGTTGGGGAACGATCTGTCTGTTGCATGGCCGTTGACCATGGTATCGCCAGATATCACGCCCATGGTAATTCGAGCTGCTAGAGCGTCGAGTAGTGTGGTTTTACCAGCACCAGAGGCGCCCTGTTCTGAGGTCAGAGTGGACGCAAGTGACAAGCTCAGAGAACGCTAAGGTACTTACCATGAGAGCGGTAATGACACCTGGCTGCACCCAGCCGTCCACAAAATCCAAGATACGTCGGTCTTGGTCTTTGATCTTGACGTCGTAGCAGATATCTTCCCAGTGAAAGATCGGCTTGCCACATTCACTCGGTCTCGGTCTCTTCTCCAACTTCTCTTCAACCGGCACGGTAGTGACTTTCTCAGTTAGAGTCATGTTGCGAGACCGACTTTCTTCGTCTGCCAAGGTCTTTCGGCCCATCACGGAAGGTACTTTGCCGCGCCGGAAAACAAGAACTTCGCCTTCGCTCTTGGGCGGCTTAGCGTATTCCGCGGTGATGATGTACGTGACGAAGAAAACCACGACGTATGCACATAGAATACCGACGTTCCTAGAGCAAGTCAGATGTATTTCCAAAGAGATTGGTCGTGACACACTCACCTCCACTTGTTATCGTTGAAGTACCCAAAGGATTGCTCGATATACCGGTCCCCATCTATCATATCTGAGCCCGGCACGGCACCTACAACAGCACAGGTACGACCAGAAATCGCGAGACCATCATAGCCCGGGCCAGACGGTACGAGTCCGGCACATAAAAACTGGCGACCGTGGAACTCATTGGCCATGAGCGCCTCAAAAGCATAAGAGAGCGGGTTGACGTATCCCATCCAGCGCGACCAACCTTGCATGTAGGCTGTTGGCACCGTGAAGCCGGCATACATCATTACACCGATAGTAACGAGTGTGACGGGTACCATGGCTTGGTGCGAGGTGCGTGCGAGGGATGCCATTGTTCGATAGATACCCGACATGGCCAGGAGAACAAGGAATGAAACCAGGCAGAAAAAGAAGAAGGGCCCGGGCTCGCGGTTCAAGTTGGCCATGAAGTAGAGAATTGAGTTGAATGTGAAGACGTTGGTGATTTTGTATGGTAATTCGGTGATGTAACTTGAGATGGCTTCCGCAGACTGGTGGTAGAGGGCGTATCGATTGTGCTTCTCAATGACGGGTCTTTGAGTGTATAAAGTGAGAACCTAGGCCATTGTGAGTCTCGATTCGAATTTAGAGGGGCCGAGATACTTCTCGCGGAAGAGCGCAAGTGTACTGACCTCCATTTCACTAGCAAAAGCATTGAACAACAGAGCAAAGAAGATAAGTCCACCACGGTAATAGAAAGTCCCCGAGTCCTGCCTCAAGTTGAAAAACATACTGCCAAGTACAAGTCCCACGATGATGTTGAAAATCAGTGAAGACAGCGTAAACTCGGGATCGGCAACCAGACGCTTCCACCCACGCCAAAGACATAGCTTGACTTGACTCGGATATGTAATCATGTAAGGCGACTTGAGTCTCTGCCAAGAACTTCGCTCGGCTTTGATACTATCTTGAAACGCCTCGAGCCGATCCTTGGAGGAATGATTGTTGTCGTAGGCCGCGATGTCCGCCCTGAGGTTTGCATGCTGTTTGGATGCCTTCCATCTAGCGGCGAACTCGTCAGGGGTTCGAGGGGCGAGGTTATCGTAGCCTAGTCGGATCTTTCTTTCGTTTGGAGATGTCATCGATGTAAGGAAGTCTGGAACAGTTTGCCGGTCGGGACCTGTTTTGATGCCACGTCAGAACAAATACAAGAAAACAAGAGGGACGGAAAACACTTACAAAGAAAGCCAAGCTCCTCAAAGTACCGTTTCGCTTCCCCAATCTTACCAAAGAAAATCTGCCTTCCCTCATACACAACCGTGACCTTGTCAAAAAGCTACCAAGAACGTCAACCAAACACTCCCATATCTCTCACATGAACATCTCAACCCTCAAACTTACATCATAAGCAGACTGCGGCGCCTGATAAATTGCCACAACAGACGCAACCCCCACCAAGTCACTCTGCGTCCTCAAATTCCCACAAAATGCAATCGCGTTTCCACTGTCAAGCCCGCGTGTGCTATTATCCCAACATTGGAACTTTGCGCCCGTCAGCGCGGCCTCGACGATACTAACGCGCTTGCGTTCGCCGCCCGATACACCGCGCACGTAGTCGTCGCCGACTTTCGTGTTGACGGTGTGAGCGATGCCAAAGGCCGCCATCATCACGTCGCGCATAGTGCGCGCGAACTGGCGGCCTGTGAGGTTGCCCGGGACGCGGGAGGGGACTCTGGCGCGGGCGGCGAACTCTAGGGTGTCACCGACGGAGAGGGGGGCTAGGTGGACGTCGACTTCGGCGTTGTAGAGGACGTCGCTGCGGAACCAGTCGTGCATGCGTTTTGGTTCGATACCTGGTGGTTGATTTAGTTATGGTGTTGCGGGAATCTAAACCAAGAATCTGGCTTACCCCTGAAGTTCATGTACGAGCCCTGGGAAACATTCAAGCCTTCAGTTTGACCAGCTAGTGTCTTGAGAAGAGTAGAACAGCCTGACCCAGGCGGACCAAGCACGAGCAGCATCTCCCCAGGTTCGACAAGGCCTTCAAAGTCTCGCAAGATATCGATACGTGTCCTTGACCTTCCTGTGGCAAGACCGACGAGATCAGATGCCATACTCAGCGCAATGTTCCCCGTACTCTTCTGGTATTGTGTCCCAGAGCTGTACCCAAAGACATTGAGGTCTCGAAATGCGACTCCCGCTCGCCTGTTGGGTGCCGAGTTGGGATCTGACTCGAAGAGGTGAACAAAAGCCTGCGTCCATGCTACACTATCAAAGTTTGAGGAGTTTGGGTCGAGGTGGCTGTTCTTGGGTGGGTTCAAGACATCGTGGTGTGTGTTGGCATCGTAGGTGTGGGATGTGTTTGTGACCTGGCGTGCTAGTTGTTCAATTTCCCTGTGCGTGTCATCGGCTGCTGTTGATGATGAAGATCCCGAGAAACGATCAGTCGACACCATCTCAACGGCAGCCTCGCCACCCGTTGCCATGGTCTAGGATGTTGCCGACACGTCGATTCTGGGATAGAGTTGGGAGCAAAGTTCGGATTCAAGGTGGCTTGGGATGATTAGGTCGCAATGAACAGAATTCAGATGAACTATCGACAGACTCTTCCATAGTTTCTTCTGTCTATCTTTTGAGCAAAATTTCGATACATAAAAGGCATTGTAACAACATCTTGGGACCGGATCTGCGTAAACGCGGACGCCCGCGGTCGTCCGCATTGCGCCTCATGTGGGGAAGTGGTCCGGTACAGTCGCTACGACCGGCCGGCCGCCTCGTAATGTTCGCATTATCCATCTTCCACGCGACTGCGCGAAAGACTTGGTCCTCTTGGGTCAAGTTACTGAAGCTCGCTCCTAATGTGGTTGTATTGCGGATCCCGTACCGTTCGGGCGGCCGCGGGTGGCCGAAAGGACGCGGCACAATTAAATACGGGGCGTCGAACCCCGTGCCAGAGAGGACCACGCGGTTGTCTAATCTCGCCTCTCCGACGGGAGATTCCCCATGCATTCTAGCAGGGTTGGGGCTTAAGCGTGCCTAATAATATGGAAAACACTGAGATCTCGGGGCTGGACTCTTCGGATCCACAGGCGTCCGACTCTACTCTGAATCTGGGGCAGTGCCAACTGCTAGAATAAAGCTGGTACTCGCGGAAATCAATTGGTATGATCGAACTCTAACTAGAACGCCTCGATATCGGTATGCAGAATTCCTCGCGAATCTTGAAGGACAAGTACGAGGCTTCATGCTCTGGCCACGATCGAGCTGACAGACTGATGTCCATGCAGATCTCACGTTGCAGAGTCCGCCGATGGGCCCATATTTCCGGCATCGATGCCGCTCAGCTCCGGACCTCTCTACCGAAAGCCACTATCTGCTACCTACTCACGCAAACTGGAAGATCGTGAAGAAATCTATAATTCAACAACGCGGTTCGTATTGCCTATGGAATAACATCTATCTAATGGTTATGGACCTGTAAAAAAGCATTTCCCACTTCAAGGCCGACGGCCCTTCCCACCGATCAACCGAAACCAACTTGTCAAGGTCTAAAGCAACATCATAGCATCAAAGCATATCCCGCAGTCGTAACAGTATCTTTTCACAATCATGATCCATCGCAATCATTTCAGGCATCCCACACACACACACACACACACACACACACACACCTTCTCTTCCTCCTACACGAACCTCACTCCTGCCCAGCCCACCGTTCCGCAACCCTAGACGTAAAAAACACCCCCGCCGCAAGAATCGTAAACCCCGGCGCAAACAACAACAAAATCCCCACAACAACCAGATTCGCAAAGAACTCTGACGTCCCAAACGCCGGCGCGCGGCCGATGAAGCCCGGACCCATGGTGTGGACGTTCACCGTCGGACCAGGCTGCTTCTCCGCCGCGTGGTGTTCGTCCAAGTCGTTGTAGTGGCCCGTAGCTTTACTTTGGATTTGCCCCAGCGCGTGGAAGATGTCTGATGCGAGCGGTTTATGTTCCTCGTCGATCGTGACGCCTGAAAGCCAGGCGTGGATGTTTTCGTGGGGGTCAGTTGATCTCGTTGGTAGGGGTGGAGGAGAACGATGAGGATTGGGTTTGGAAGTCGGTATGGCGGGGCGGTTGGCTTGGGGTATGGAGTGGCCGTCTTCTCCGTAGATGAAGGAGCGTCCGTCTATTACTTGTGAGCAGAGTTTGGTCAAAAGATGAGCTCGAGAGATATGTGAAGCTTACCATACTGATCTGCCCAATTCATGGCGTTCAAAGAAGCTCCTTGGAGATCGACTAGATGTTGGCTAGTGGAAGCGGGGATATCTCGAAGCCGAAGAGCAGTCGAGGGGCACAGAGCCTTTGTTTTTGCAGCGGTAGGTGGATCACAGCGAGCGCTTACACTTGGGAAGAAAAGGGCACCGTTATCGTCAAGAAGGGCTCCTGGATGTATCCATGGAAATAAATTGACCAAACTGTTATTGACTGTTTGTCTGACACGTGCGTTGTCGGGGAGAATGAAAGCGAGGCTGGGTGGTGATGGCCACTGGAATGCTTCATTTCACGAATGTTGCTGGTCTACATTCCATGGCCTCTCTTATCTGGGACGGCTCGTCAGTGTTGCTATGATAAGGCACAAGACAGGTGTCTTTGGCGCAAATGCAGCTCATATATCCCATCATGACTGTTTGCCCAAGTGTAATTCCAAGATTTGGATGGAATTGGTAGGCACTCTGTGGCTGGGGGGAAGTCGTCAATCTCCATCCCGACATTCGCGCCCATGGCTTTGAGGACGCTGTTCGCAGGGACTGTAAAGAGACTAGAGCTTCACGACTCCAACTCAGGGGACCACCACTGTACGAGAGGCGGGAGCAGGCGATAAAAAGGTTTGTTGTATTCCCGTTCTGCCTTGAGTACTGTATGCAAACATTAATCTCGTCAATTCGCCCCTGCCATACTACCGATAATCTACAGCCCTCCGCCTCATGTTCATGTAGAATGCGCACCGAGCCAAGAGACTTAGAAGCCGCATGGCATAACGGGTACATGCAAGGCACGCGGTGGATGCGCTTGCATACCGATCGGTGACTCTGCAGGTAGCCCCATCGGGATATTGCGGCGGGCACATTATCTTTCTGCAGCAAAAAAGTTGTCATCTCGAATTTGACCTATTCTTTTGTGCCCAGTGTAGTTGAAAAAAAAAAAGAAAAGGAAAGTTCGTCGTCGTCCATCATCCCGTTTCCCATTCCTGGTTTGCCTTAGTCACAAAAAGAACACCGTGCTTGCAGCGCGATCAAAACGTCCTCGATCGAGAACCCCAGCCCACAGAAAAGAAGAAAATCTTGAACGCCATCTCCCAACCAATTGTTTCCCTCCCAGCCGTCCCTATTGCCCGTGAGAATAGAGACAAAGGGAAAGAAAACGTCGTCGTCTTCGCAGTTCATACAGTAAAAGAAAAATGTAGTAGGTACATAGGGAAAGAAAAAGCGACTTGGTAGAGGTCGGTGGGAAACGAATGACCGCTTTCAATGCAAGAAACGCCATAGGTATGTGCAACGCCAACGTTGAATTGCTTGTCTAGAGAATGGAACAAAGATGAGCCCAGTTGCAAACGACGCCCTCAATGACGGGGAGTCGGCTCGGGTTGCCAGCCGTTGATGTAGGCCATGAGACCCATGCCTAGGATTACCACGCCAAGCATGGAAGCATAGGGAACCCCGGCCATCATGACCTGATCCTTTGCCAGCTTGCCCGGGGGTATGCTAAGTGGCGTAATGGTGTTGGCTCGCGACAAGGTGGGCTTATCACCAAAGTCGTCCACAGGGGACTCTGCCTCCGTGGGTGCAGGCGCCGAGTCACTGGATCCGTTGATTTGGACAATCGAAGTTGTCTTGTCGGTAGGTCCTTCGCTTCGGCCGCGTCGTCCACGGGAAAGAGAACGACTCTTCTCCGCCATAGCTGCCTTTTGCCGAACGTCCTCATCTCTGCGGATTTGGGCGACCATCTCGGCCAAAGTCTGGCGATCGGCGTCGCGCTCCGTTTCGGCCTTTTCGCATCTGTGCTTCCATGCCTCCATCTGTTGCTTCAGGTCGGTCACTTCAGACATCATGGTGTCCAGCTTGACTTGGAAACGTGCGGCAATATCCTCAGCACTCTCTGGTGCAGGCTCCTCAGAGAGCGGTTCGGCATCAGTCATCTCGATGTCCTGAGCGTCGGCAGTATCCCGGGGTGGCTCAAAAGCCTCCTCCAAGAGAGCCTCGGTATCGTGCTCCTTGGCCGCGCCATTGGTTTCCTTTAAGGCACTGTCATCGAGAATCTTTGCCATATCCTCGGCCAGCTCGCGTGCCTCCCGCTCTTTGCGGAGCATATCTTCCAAATCCCTAATACGGGCTGTTTGAGTATCCATCTCCTTCTTTGCTTTATTCAAAGCTTCGGTCAATTGAATAATCTGATGCAAGTTGTCTCGTCCAACAGGCGAGGTGGTGCTATTAGTTTTTGGTCGCTCGGTGGTGCCCCGTTTCAAGGATGGCACATCGGGCTTCTCGGGCAGCGGCTGCTGGGGAGGCGGGGCAGGAGGATCGGAAAATCTCGTCTTCGCATCGGTGCGGAAGGGCAGAGCGTTGCCATTGGGGAGCTGCTTCGGAGGTTCAGGGGCTTCTGGCTTCTCGAGATCCTTGACGTCGTCTTTACTCAGGAGAGCGTGGACGAACTGGCCCGTCCGAGAGAGGTCCTGAGACTGGAGTCGAGCGTTGCGCATCTCGTTCTGAACCGAGTTAGCTTCGTTAAACACGTCCAAAGAATTAGTGACTCACGTGAAGTCTCTTGACGATATGCTCCGTGGTAATGGGCGTTAACAAGAATCCACGGGCAGCTCCGCCATTAGAGGCCATGCCGGCCATATTCTGGGGTGCCATCATGCGGCCGTTGCTGGCCATTGATGCGTTGCTTCCAGTCCTGCCACGGTAAGGCATGGGACTCGGCGCTGGCATCATCATGCCACCATTTGCAGGGTCTAAATCGCCAAAGTTCATGTCCATAACATTACTCGAGGGGCTCATGAAGCCTGCGTGTTCGACCTTTGCAGCAACCTTGTGGTGGACGACGGTCTTCTGATCCTCGCTCACGATATCGATTCCCAACTCCAAATGATCTCCCGTCTGTAACTCATGTGGTTCGGATTCGCGATTCTCCTGGGAAAGCCGTGTTCCGTTGACAAAGGTTCCGTTGGACGATTTGACATCGCGAATGTAAATCTTGCCTGTGCGATCTGCCCATATCTCGGCGTGCTGCCTTGACAGCACTTTGCTATCAAAGTAGCCGTTGATGGCAGTCGGGATCGTCTTCTGATTGGTTTGACGACCGATACGGAGGGTTTCTGGGAAGAATGGTACCGAAATGGTCTTGCGTTCAAAGGTACCATTGAGCGATAGGAGATAGAGCACGGGCTGTCCGTTAGGCACTGGGTCGCCCATGGGTCTTGCCCCAAGTCCCTGCTGCGACATCATTTGCGGTTGGCCCGGAGCCGTCTGTAGGGAAGAACCGCCATTGATGCCGTTCATGGCATTACGCATAATAGGCCTGCCGAACTCGGCTTGACCTTCTGGCTTGCCAGGCGGCCATGGTCCTTTGGGTTGTGGTCGCTTCCTCGAGGCGGTGCTAGACCAGCTCATATCGGAGTTTGTAGACGCCGCAGTGCCATTTGGTTGAGAACCATTGGTGGCAACGGTACTGGTCGACGAGTTGGAGGAGGCAGATGAGACCGAGGAAGAAGAGTTGCTTCGCTGCAGCGTCTTCCGAGGTGCGGCGAACATGCCTCTGACGTCTTCTGGATTCATCGAATTCAGACTTTGGCCGCCATTAACATTCCATCCCGGTCGATTGAGTTGCTGGAAGCTGGGCGGGCTCGCGACGGCAGTCATGAGGAAGTCGTTGTTGTATTCGGGTAATGATCGCGGGACAGCGCAAGTCGTGGCAAGAACGAGCAGGTGATGACAGCTCGCAGGGTATCGATATTGATGGATGGTCTAGGTGACGTCGGGGGCTCCTTCTTTCACCATTCGTACAGTAGCCCGTAGGGTATCGTAAAGATCAGTCGCCGAAAGATAACGCGGATGTGTCAGATGAGGTCGATGGGGTGTTCGCTGCAGATAGTAGGAAGCAATGGGGCTGAGCTGGCAGGTTAAAAAAATAAGTCAGCGATGATGTCGCGGCAAGGATAGGGGTGGGCAGCCAATTGGCGCGACCCAGAAGCGGCCTGCGACGGGACGGGGGGTCGCAGAAAACCGGGCCAAGGAAGCTCAGATGGGCAGGAGAGACATACCAGCAATACCAAGGGAGTGGGCAGAGATTGTTTTCTTTGGGCACCACGGTCGACGATGGGCTCAAGCGGAAGCGTCGTCGGGGGGGGTCGAGTGGTCTCCGTGGGTAGGTAGGTGAGGTTGAATCAAGGACTTGGGCAAAGAGAACAGAACGTGTCGCCCCGTCTCGCTAAGCGCTTAGCGTAAGTGCGTGAGGTGAGCGCTGAGGGACACCTGTGGGCGGGCCAAACAGCGTTCGGAAACACGCGCCGGAGCCGACTTTGGAGTCTGGGACATGGGCGGGCGGAAACAGCAGGGCCACAAGGCTCAGGGCGGGAAGGGTGGCCGAAGGAAGCGGGAAATTCTCAGTGCAGTTGGTTCGGTTACTGCTCTCAGTTCAGTGTGATGGTTCAGTTCAGTTCAGCTGAGCACAGGCCCCCAAGGCTTGGGTGTTTGACTGGGATTTCCACCATGGGCCAGCTGGGATGATCTTCGTATGAACAAGGTCGTAAAGTAGCAAAGAAAGAGGAAGAGGTGTGGCAGTGACAGGAAAAGAGGAGAGAAAGGAAAGCAGAGGAAAGGAAAAAAAAAAGACTGGTGCATCATCCGGGTGAAGGCGGTCTGGTCTGGTCACTGTGCTGTCATCGCCTCCAGTCCACCTGAGCTGGCTGCTGCTCTTGCCTTAGCCGTGGGGATCCACCCTCACCTGCCACCATCACATTCCATTTGCGGCGGTCGCCTGCGCTGTTCAAAGACCCGAGGCACGTGACACCTTCCAAGGTAAAGATATGTGGATGCCTCACAAAGGACGTCAGGCAGCCAACCAGAGGGCCAGGCTGACAGAAACGGGTCCCTCAAGGTAAGGTGGCCTGTGCTCCAGGTGACCGTGACATCGCTGCTCTTTCCTCGAACCACAGTCTAGGTACCTAGGCAAGGTACCTTAAGTGGAGCTAACCGCTTCAGTCTTTTTGCCGAATAACTGCCGTACCCCGGATTCGATTCGTCCAAAGCTCCAGTGGCACCCGGCTCGGAAAGGCTGACGTTCGGCCACTTGGATTGGGTGCCGCAAACTGAGAGAGCTCCTCCCAGCCCACCATCGCAAACATCACCGATTCGCATCGCACGACTGTACGGTATTGAGCAACACCAGGAGCTCGATTGGCTATCCAACACTCAGCACACAGTTGCCTCTATTTTCCAGACCCTCTTTCCATAATGCCTCCTGTTCCTGCGCAACATGGCGGTGCCATGGGCCCTGGAATCGCCGACAAGAGTACGATCCTCTCTTACAAACTTTATGTGAGCTTCTAGCTAACTCTGCGCAGTGAAGATGGGTGCCCTTATGGGTGGAAGTACGTCTAGACTGACTCAACAGTCCTCTTGACCCTGTAACTAACCATTCTTTAGCTGTTGGGTCCGTCATGGGCTTCGTCTTTGGTGCGTAACTCCTTTCCCTCCCCTCTGTTGCTTCATACCAGCTAATCAGCTACTCCCACAGGCTCGGTCAACATCATGCGCTACGGTGCCGGCCCCAACGGTATCATGAGGACTCTGGGACAATACATGCTTGGTTCAGGAGCAACCTTTGGGTATGTCAAGCCTGGTCCGGCTTCTACAGACGCAGACTAACAATCACCCACCCAGTTTCTTTATGTCCATCGGTAGTGTCATCCGATCTGATGCCTCTCCCATTGCCGAGGAGGCGTTCCGAAGGGCCAACCGAAGACCGATCATCATGTACGGCCCCGGCTCCGAGTACGCAAAGCGCCAGCAATAAGCTAGAGAAGATAAAAATCCGAAATACCCTGTACATCATCATGTAGGAGAATAGTAGGCCGTTGCAAAAGGACGGCACGATGCTACAACACCGGCATCAAATGGATATCTGTATAATACTTAGGTGTGTCTGGCATATCACGACTGCGAGAGAAAAGTTATTGCATCTTCCAGGCGAGCCCTCGCATTCGCGAAAGTCGACGCCCAATGCTCGGCGCTACCGTAGTGCCTCGTCCTTGTTACCTTGGTCCACATCAATCACATTGTTGGAAGAACGGAAATCAAACAGAGCTATGTCCAGATGCTTAAGACTTG